TCCCTGACAGGAGCCTGGAGCAGAGGCAGGGGCAGGCTCTGCCCCCAGGGAACAGGGACAGGACAAGGCTGTGCCAGGGGAGGTTTACACAGAACGATGGGGAAACTTCTCCATGGAAATGCTGCCCAGCAGGGGAGTCACCACACCTGCAGGAATTTAAAAGCCATGAGGATGTGGCTTCTGGGGACACAGGTTAGTGATGGCCTTAGCAGTGCTGGGGACCAGTTGGACTCAATGATCTTAGAGGTGTTTTTCAACCTAAATAATGCTGTGATAAAAGCCCTTTGATAGGAAAGTGCACTGCTCTTCCTTCACAGAGGAAGTGCAGAGAAAAATAACAGGTTTTAAAACATCATTTAGAGTAAAATAAAAAGAAATATTATAAGCAAATATGCCAGCCAATACTAAACAGCAAGACTGAAAATAGTCAAAGAATAAAAAAATTGTAAGAAATGTTTATTGATTATAGTCTTAGGGTGTCCTATTCATATGCAAATAGTAGCAGTCTTGTCTGATTAGCATATTAATCTTTGAACTTATTTGGTTTATAATGTAAAGTGTTCACTGCTCCACAAACAAGGCGGATTTGCAAGAAGCCATTTAAATATTGATATCACTTTAGGAATCATAAAATCTCAGTTTCATTATCTTAAGTGTCAGGCATTGATAATTATAGCAACAAAAGGCATGACTAATGGCATTTGCTGTACACTTCACAGGAAACTGGAATCCACATGTATACGAAAACAAGATACTCTACAGTTGAGAAATATGACAAAATAATATTACTGCAATAATCAACTTGCTTTACACACTAAAGAAATTGCATCTAACTATCACCATCTAGAGGTAAAATGAAAATGGCTTTTTTTTTTAATTCTGATCTGAATTCTGTCTGTATGCCCATGAACATATTAGACAAGAAATTATTTTCTAATGGTGAGCAATGTCTGCCACACAAAAGACATGGGCACCAAACTGCAGAGATCACATACAGCATTCATCAGAAAGCAACCTAGAAAAACTAAATTGTTTCTATCTAACTTGAGAAAACAGTTTGTTTGGAAGAGAAGACTTTTGCCACCATGACCCTGGCTTTAAAAAGTCACCTAATAGTTAAATTGTCTGTTTAAAGCCCAGACTGGGCTTCCTTAAGCGTGACTTGGTACAAAACAAATGAACTTCTCCATATATGGCTGTGTATATAACTAATATATAACTAATTTATAACTAATCAGTCTGCCACCCAGTAACAGCCATCAGAAACTTTGTAAGAGAATGAACCTCTGAAGCTGCCTTTGGGTAACTGCCTAATGTTCTTGCTGCAGAGATGGTTATGAGTGTCTAGTCTGAGCTCCTGTCACAGCTTGGATCATTTCATCCACTGAAGTCCAAACAATCCTTATGACTTGTTGCTTGGTAATAAAGACATCAATTGGTCATCTAATTATTTTTTTCTACTCAGGTGCAAAATTAATTGTACTAGTAATCTGTCAGTGCTAATGAATGGCAAGGCAGGAGTCAAGAACTAAACCTGAAGCAAAACAAACTTGAGCAAGTACAAATAGAGAGGATGTGCTCTGAAAACATTTAGAATGAGCTTGCCATGCACAAAAGATAAGCATTAGTTGGAAGAAAAGATATTTTGTCATCATACCTAATATATCTCCATTTTAGGACTAAATTAGTCATTATTAGCACAACATTCCAAAGGCAATTCATGTTTAATTAAAATCACCTCCAATTTTTTTGCATCCTGCTCTTACAGCAAGGCACACTGATCTCAACAGTTCAGAAAATTCCTTAGAGAATTATGAAATGTATTTTATCCAGAACACTTAAATATAAACATAAGGTATAGCAGTATTTATTATTCCAAAATATCACTATGTAGGGATTTCCTTAGAAAGAAGTCACACCTTTGTGTTTGGATTGATTTTTCTTCAGTTTAATTAGCTCAATTATTTTCTAGTATTACCCCATAAACGTCCAGTATTACCCCATATTATACATTAAGAGAAGACCACTGCCATGCACTTGTTTTGAAATTGCAAAGCAATAGTTTCAATGAAAGCTCCAATTTGCATTTTGAAACAGTCAAAAATGTCTCCATATCCTTCATGATTTGAAAGATTGTCATTGTATTTTCCTCTCAGTTGCCTTTCTTGCAGGCTGAGAATTTCTAATATGCTCTGCCAGTGAAAAATCTTTTTTTTTCCACCCATATTATTTGGAGTTGATATATTTCTTTGGAGAGGAGTAGAATTGCACACAGATAAACCAGAGATTATACATAGCATAATAGCATTTCCTGTTTGTCTATCCCTTTCCTAATACTTTGTAACTACTTGGTTTTTTAGACCTCTTTAAATCCTTTTTAAAATTATGTCAGATTAGCTACTTTAAAATCTGGGGTATGCAAGCCAGAAGCTATTTATCAGTCACTTTTCAGCTATTTCACCTTTGAATTCCTGGTGCACTGCATGTGGAGATTTATGCTTTATTTACTCAAGAAGATCTGCTACTGGCATTTCATTTAAAACAGACAATCTGCTATTCTCCACAAGGAAAAATCCAGAATGAGAATAACCCATAACAACTCCATGGTGAACAGAGATTATAAAATACGCATTTTTCTGTTACTATTTTATATTCTGAGAAAGCAAGTGAAAAAATATTTTTAATTGAACTCAATAACTGCACATGCAATTCTAAATTGCTTTACCCCTAAAATTTATACCCCCTCTAATTGTTCTAACACCCACAGTTGAATGCTACAGATCCCCAGCTCTGTTAATTTTTAAGACAGTAACAGATAGTGCTAAACTGGGGCACTGAATTATCTGCTGCTCACAACTGTCCCCTTGAACTCAACCATTCAAATTGAGCATAAAATTTGGCCACGTTTCCAGAGCTTGTTTTGAAATCCTCAAGATTCATAACCAGTTAATTCTGCCAGTTAAATGTTACTGCAAGAGTGCAGTGTAACTCTACAAATACAGAGGTCTGATTGAAATTTCCACATCTAATAGGATTAATTATAAAATGCTGCTTGCTTTCAGAGTCCACAGTTTTATTTCTGAGCTTGTCCAGAATCCTTAATCCTCAGCAGAAATTAAAGAAACTATTTGATGGCTGAAACTATGTGACAAATATGCTGGTGCTGGAAACTTTTCCTGCTATGTTTACTGAAGAGCAACATCTGGGTTTTTTTAAGGATGAAAAATGCACTGATTTTGAACATCCAAAACAGATGTTAACATGACACAAAAAGAAATGCTTTGAAATGCCCTTCAAAACAGCACTACAAATCCACATTAAATTTAAAAACATAAAATTAAATTTTAAAAAGCAAGCACAATAAGCAAACTCCTGCAGGAGTCTATTCTTATCCTGTCCAGGTCAGGCCTTCTCGATATGCAAATTAACAGGTCATTAATTTCTTTTTCTGGTTTAAGAAGCACAAGCACAAAACTGGCATTGATTTTGAAGAGGCACGGCAACCCATATTTACCTCTCCTAGTTCTTACACTCTTCAGAAGCTTTATGAAGTCCATGCAAACAGATAACAGACACCGTGGAACTGATAATTTGATAATTTTCCAAACTAATTGAGATGCTCTGCAATTGTATCCACCCTCCTCTTGCATTCACCCACTTGTACAGTCATGTCCAGTCAAACTTCATGACAAACACTGAACTCTTTAGTAACCTAATTTGATCCAGAGTTACAAGTAAAATTACAAACTCATTAAATTCTTCACAGAATAGGTAAGGTTGGAAGGGACCACAGTGGACCATCTGGTCTACCCCACCTGCTCAAGCAGGATGAAAAACAACACAGAGCAGCTTAGGAAAGGAGCAGTAGAAACCAGAGCTCTTCTGGTGGACATGGAGCTGCATCATCATTAGTGTAACAGGTGGGGTGAGATCTCCATGCTCTTAAGAATTTCTGTGTTGGCAGACTTGTGTCTGGGTTTGAGAATCTGTAGCCAGTGACAGCAGAAATATGTGAAAGCCAGAAAGACAAAAATATTACACTTGTCAACAAGTTGGGTTTTCACACACCTGTGCATCTCTATTTGATTGATTATTCAGTGCTTTTGAACAAATTACTAACTGCTCCCATCCTGGTGGCTTTTCTTTCCATTACCTCAAGTCTTATTTTTCATTGTCTTTTACTGGCCAAAGGGTGGGTGTTTTCCTGTATTTTTCAACTACCTGCCAACACTTCATAAATGATTCAAAATTCTACAAAAAAAACATCATTCAGAGTGAGAGGAATGTTAACAAGCCTCAGCAATCTTGTTCAGAACTAAGTACGTGTGGCTGAAACAAAAGTGGAGAAATTTTGCAGCTGCTAACAATCCACAAATAAAGAAATGTAAATAGCCTAGGACAGCACATTAGAGTGTTTGAAGTTCACCCTGCCATTCTATCCATGGAGGGGTCACTGCTCTGAAACCAGGAATCCAGCAATCAAGGAACAGTATAAAATTGCAATGCTTCAGCTACAAGTCAGGCTGGAGCACAAACCCCTAAATTCTGACCTGCCTGAGGCAGAACACAATGTGAACATGTTCAATAACACACAGTGTAGAATTGTTTCATTATTCAAGATGTTTTCAAGTGAGCTACTACAGTAAACCATATCTGTCTGTCAAGCAATGTTTCTGGTCATTGTTATCCCCAAAACTGAAGTAAAACATGTACATGCATCTTGAAGAAGGCTTTACTGATTAATATTGAATTGTTAAAGTCCCTGACCAATGGAGTCATCTTATTAGCATGCTTTTAAAGTATTAAACTACTACAAGTCAAGTCTCAAAAAATACTATTTGAATAATCAACACAATCCTGTGGATGAATATATATGAAGTTACTGCTGCTGCTCATTAGCTGATCTCTAATGAAATTATACACAGAGATTTAAATTATTAAAATGTGCTACTTCAGTCAGAAACTTCCAGACAAAAGCCCTGTTCAGCTGCCTCACTCACCTGGTAAACATGGAATGCATTGGCAGCTTTGCCACGCAGGAAGACTGAGGGAATCCAAACATTGATGAGAGCACGATTGGATCTGAGGAGGAGAGAGAGAAAAATTTCAAACAGGGAATCATATTTACGTATAAGAATTGCAAAGCAACTACATGCAATGATTTAAATAATGATCAAAGTAATCAATAAAGCAACTTAAAATTTCAAATGAAGAAACAGAAAAATTGGAGTTCTGCCTGAACTTTTTTTTTATGTTCTGAATCTAAAAACATTCCCTAAAATTAACCCAGCTGAAACAATTCTTTCTGCAGGTTTTCTGGGTTTGGGGGTTTTTTTCACAGCATGCATTTGACAACATTTGATTATACACATGAAGCAAAAATTATTCACTTCAACAAAGTCAACATTTTCAGCCACAAATCTCAGGTAAAGTTCATTAAATAACAGAAGAGCAGTGCACAATTCTGCAGAAGCCATTTCCATCCACTCTTTGTCATCCATCTCTAAATTTCTATGATTCAAACACATCAGCTACATTTTCAACCCCTCATCCACAAAAGCAAGATTCATTAGTTTGACTACTAAAGGCAAAATTCCAAATCACAACACATTCAAATGATCTGGGGAGGGCTCCTAGTGGGGGCTTTGGGGTTTTTTGAAGCATTGATTAGGAGCTATTCTGTAAATGAGGAAGTCCATCACATGATGAATAGCAACCAGCACCCTTCAAACCCAGAGCACTAAAACCAGAAACTGCTTGGTGCTTTGGCAGAATACCAAGACCTAGGGCATTTAAAAAGCACTCCAAGGGAATCTTGCTAAATCTAAACTCCTTGAGTTCAGCATTATTAACTACACTGGGGCATGGACTGTGCAGCTCTCCATGCTTTTTAACAACAGAATACCACAACTAAGAATGCAGCTATTAGAAGTAATAGAGGAAAAGCAAATTATTGAATCTCTTTGCTTATTCTCCTTTCCCAGAGATGGTATGAAGAGAAAAATTTGTGAATTATGAAACTTACATTTCAAAATCTGATAAACTCTGATCTTCAGATGTTTGACTTAAATCTCCAGGGACCTTTATTTACAAAACAGAAATAATTTCCAAACAGTGGCTATTATGTTTTCAATTAAGAAAGCATAATATTATAAGGAAATTACAATTCAACATTCAATTCTATAAGTGCCAATAAAAACTATTCCTGACAAGCAATAAATGGAAAACAAAATCCTGCAAGAAGATTGTGAACATGTCACCCCTGTGAGTCCTTTATGTTAGAATTTGCTACAGTTCTGTAAAGAAACAAATTGGGGTTTGTAAAAGCATGTAATTTTGAAAGATACAGAAAATGCAGGCAAGAGTACCATTATTAGGGCTTTATGTGCAAAGGATGCTAAAACAAAGTACTTTGTGTGTATAAGCCATTTATGGGAAAATATGAAGCACATAAAACCTACTGATCACTTTCTTTTACAACCAATATTCTACCAAGGGAAGGACACAAGAACACTTTATTTCAGCTGTGCTCCTACCAAACATTATATAAGTACAAAATTTCATAATGAAGCCATGATGGACTAATACCTGCAGAATCAAAGGAAGTAGCAGCTGTTAGAGAACCAGATTGCAGGACCATTTAGAACAAAACAGAAGTATCTTTTTACCTTAATTTACAACTAGAATAAACATAAAAGGGTATCTTCCTTCCTTTAAAAGGAAAATGTAAAATGTAAAGCATAATCTGGAATAGTTAAGAGGAAAGGAATTGTTCAAAGCCAATTCTTCACAGATCTGTTATTTCTTACAAGCTAATGGGTATTTCACCATGAGGAGCATGTCTGAGCTATTCCAGAGGGATATTCTGCAGTGCAATAAACAAATACTCACTGGCCCTCTCAGATCAATGAGCTCTTGTCTCATCTGGAACACCAGAGCTTCCTTGGCCATCAGAGCACGGTGCAGCCTCTCATTGAATTCAATCAGCTCCCCATGCATTTCAGCCACCTGAAAAGCAAAGCCAAGGGATAATTGTGATGTGATCTGAACTGGGAAAAAAATCCCACTATGTAATTTCTTACATGTATATCAATTTCTTTTTACTCTCCAAGTACTGCTAATGTGGTAGTCTGAACTGATCATTAAGAACAGACATTGCTATAATTTTGATTCATGCCTTGAAACGTAGTTTTGATATTGAATAGGACAAAATGCAACTTTATGTCAAATTTTATTCTTATCACTCTAAATCATATGACAACTGATTCTAATAAAACACCCATTGACTTCTGTTCTCAGTTTAATTCTTTGATGAATGCAGCACTCAACAGGTACAAACTAATCACAATATTTTGAACAGGCAGTACTGCAAAATGCACAAACTGCATTAAACTTTGTCAATAATTCATAAGTGATGTATTCTTCACCCTTAGTTGGAGTTTTAATAGGAATGGACCTAGAAGTCAATCACTCCAGGCAAATCTGTGAGAGGTCAGAGGAGTCTAAATACCAGAGTCAGGCTGTGGCACAGGTTGCTCTCACAGGTAAACAGAGTGGCCTCTTTGGACACTGAGTGTGGCTGGGGCTGTGCTCTGCATTTTAAGTCAAGGGAGCAGGAAGAGATGCAGGATGTTGTGAGAGTGCCAGGGGCTGGGGCAGTGAGGGCGATGGAAAGTTCCAGCAGTCAGATGTGGGCACTGCTGGGCCCTCCCCTGGGCTGCCCCAGCAGCAAGGTTAAATCTGCTCCTGGCTACATGGCTAAACCTGCTCCTGGCTCCAGCACCTCTTGGAATGCCTCCTTCTCCTCCTCATCCCCCACCCAGAGCTGGAGAACAGCAAAGGCAGCAGGGTAACAGCATGAGAGCACAGCTGAACAACATGAATTTCAATCCAGTCGCCTCAACAATAGCACACAGACTTGAACTACTGCCAAATCTCTCAAGAGTTCATCGTTTCCCTCCTAGAAGCAGCTTGTTACTATCTGTGAATTTCACTATTTCCTTTTTCTGAATTACTCTGCCTTCTCCCTCTTCCCCAGGGAAGTTCCCCAAAATAAAGTAGTTTAATTTAGTGTCTGCTTTTAATTTTGTGCTTTGTTCCATACAAATCTGCATCCTTCACAGAATCAAAGCAAACAAAAAAAGCCTCAATTTGACAAGCCAGAATCTGACATCATTGATTATAAATAAAAAACAAAAATAATTTTCATGAGGTGAACTTCAAGCATTCTTTTCCAATTTCTTTTTGTATTAAAGGGAGTCCATCAAACCCAGTAATTCATCACTGAAACATCTATGCAAAAAAGAGCTAAACTACATGAACAATATACTAGAGAAAGCAATAATATAGTATTATTAATTCTACATAAATGATTTTCCATACTAGCTTAACCACTAATTCCAATTTAAAGTGGGTGGTGTAACATTTAAGAATACCAGGTTAATATTAACAGGTCACTGTTAATTCCACAGAGCCTGGGCTGTAAGGCAGAACTTCCTTGCATTTCAAGTACAGAGATACAGCAATGACTAGTTGCAAATTCACAGAGAAAAGCTGCAATACTGCTGGTTATCAAAAGCAACATAAAAATTTACAAGTGGACCTCAGTAGTTTGCATATTTGAAAACGTTTGGTTTTTCAGGGCCTGTCTATCAGAAGAACAAAATCCAGACTGATGTGTGACTATTTTGTCTCTCTGATTTGGATGTCCTTGAAATAACTTTCTACTTGCAGACTCAATTAACATGTAAATTCAACAACTCTCTCAAAACACTACAAGTAACGCAAAAATCTGTAAGTATCCCTAGCAAAGTTAAATAATAAAAAGGAAATTTAACAGCAAATAAAACACCAAATCACTTGTTCTATATTATCAAAAAGACAACTGGCAGGTGTCACTTATTAGCAATTAACTGACTTCAATACTTTCCCTTGTCAAAGAAAAATGCATTACCATCACAGCAAATCAAAAGGAGCAATGAATAACAATATTAATTTAAGTTCCTTTAATTTTTCCTGCATCAAAGTCTGCTAAAACAACAAAGAGGTCTCCTTATAATTATATCCTTTCAATTACATTTTCATAGAGTCACATCTTCCTTTACTCAATCCACATTGAAGCTTAAGCAATAAATTTCCCTGCTGGGACTTCAATCATCTTCACAGTTGTTTTTCTTCATAACAATATGCTCAAAGCAAAAAAATAAAGAATAAATAAGCTCAGTTTTCCTTGGACAGAGTATCATTTAGATTTGCTCCTTCCTATATGAGAAAACAGTTTAAAGAACCTAAACCCTTCTCAGGAAGGTGAAGTGAGGATAAAGTAAACACTTGAGGCTCCACACTAACTCAGCTCCTTAGGGTTGTCAAAAGAAAACCCAAGTGCCTGAGAGCACTGCAGTTACACTGCCCAGCATGGCCACAGTTCACAGCAGCCTCCAGAGAAAGGACAAAGAAGGTATTGCCTCATGTTTCACAGCAAAGGACCAAGCAGTTCACTAAAAACAGGCCAGGAATGTTTCACTAAGCATCTAACAACACAATCCATCTTGGAAAGATATGCTTCAAAACCAATTAGCAGAAAATAAGCTGAAGCTTTCATCTCAAAATAAACTGGGAACTGTGCACATTCAATGAAATTCTTACTCATGTTTGCAATAATTCCCAGTCTTGGTCAGTTGTGTCCAGTCCCACCAGCGTTTACTGAGACTGACACGGCTTGCCATGCTCAGAGCCTTGGAGAAGGGCTGTCACAGGGGTTATGTCCTGTTTGGACTATGTGAGGATCCTGTTGGAGATTAATAAGTGAAAGAGATGCAGCCTCCCTCTTCCCAATATCACTGATAAAAAAGCTTTTCTGTGGTTACACCCAGAGCTGTGTCACCACTGCCACAAACTCAGAAGTGCCAGCACCAAACTCCTGAGCACGAAGAACAAAGGTGGAACAACTGAGGAGGCTTCCACAGCACAGGGAGATTTCACCTGGGTTCTTAATTAAGATAATCTCTTGATAGGTACAGAACAGAGGAAAGGAGTCAGAAGAACTCAAGCAAAGGTAAGCATTAGGGAGAGAATTAGTTTCATGTTGCCATCTTATTCCAGGGGTTCCACACTGTTGTCTCCTTATCACAACAGTTCCACACCTTCTTGGTGTTTCTCATGGGCATCTCCTCAGAGCACTGACTCTTCTTCCCAAAGCAGCCACTGACTCCAGTTCCCTTCTCACCCAGCCACCCCACTCTTTTCTAGCACTCTGCTTCTCATTGCTTACAGCTGTGGCCTGGTAAAGTCAGGCCTGTTCCTGATCTTTGCTAATTGGCCCAGCTGCAACTCCTTAGGGGTGAGATTACCTTCTACACTAGCTTTAGTTTCTTATATTCTATCCCCCTACAGTTGCACAAGGTCCTATGAGAGAAGGAGAACCAAGTATGCATGTTTTAGAAGAAGTGTATGAAGCTCTTTGATCCATGACCTGCATTTTTAGTCATCTTCATATTAATCAGTTAATATGGGAATCCAATTAAAGGGTATTTTGGGAAAGAGAAAGACATAAAGAATTCTTTTACTTCTTATAAAAATGTTCTTTTAATATTTAATAGCAGATATGGGTATTAGATACTAAATTTCATTACATTTTTTTCTTAAAAATAATTTGTATTCAAATTTAGGATGAAACCCTAATCTATTTTTTTTTCCTTTAATGAATTTTATATTAATCTTAAAAGTAAATCTTGCCTTAGGAACTTTTTCTAACATGGTCATATCAACAGAAGTAGTAGCTTCTATCAGTCATTTCTTTACTGCAGTATTCAATAAGCAATACAAAAATGAAACATGGTTTGCAATCAGAAACCAGCATGAAAGCACAGAAAAAGCTACAGATTCCACTATGGTAGTAGATTAAGCTCAACTGCCAACACAGCCATGCCTGTAATTATGTATTGTAATTTACACAAAACCTCAAATCTATTGTCTGGGATGATTTCAACTTCACCAGCAGTTAAAACCAACTTGCTTATTTAATAAAATCTTCATTTTTTTACGCTGATATTCATTTTAATATCAACGTATGAAAATGTACCCGTTAGGAAAAGTACTTTTAATTATCTGAAGTTTTTTATTTCTGAAGAAAAAAAAATCAGATTTATATTTTACATTCCTGAGGCAAAAAGATATCAACTAAGTAAAAAACCTATTTAAGCTTCAGACCTTGTTCTATGATTAGGATTCCATAAAATCTGTGCAGTACAAACTTTACCTCAATCAATTTCCTTTCATAAGAGCTGGCCAGCTCCTCATTGTTTTCTGCTTGCTTTTGCTCTGGAATTGTAAATTCACCATCAGTGCTCCAAATGTTTGGCAGAACTATAACAAAGAGATACCTCAGATTAAAAAGTAAAATTCCATAAACGTCCAGGATAACCTGTTTAGAAATAACATCTCCACAAGAAACAGTTATTAAAAACATGAGAACAGACCATAATATTAAGCACTATTACAAGTACTAAAATACAGATTCTGCAGGGACCTTTCTTGGTAAGAAATATTTAGACTGAGATTTTAACAGAGAAGAATGTAAACCAAAAGCATTTGGCTGTTGTGTGATACAGCTCTCTAATATATGTAGCACCTGCAGTTGCTGCCCCAAGCCTTCTAAAACTTATGTTTCTCTTTTAAGCCTTTTTTTTTTACTGGGCTTCCAAAACAGCATTTTATATTACTTGTACAGACTGCTTACATATCAGAGAAATTACAGCAAACAAGGCTGAGAATGAACATTCCATACTTCACCCAGTAGTTCATGATTTTTCAGCAAGCAGAATCAGCTGGAGTTCTTCCACTCCTGATAGTTAATTGTCTAATTTCTTCCTAAAACCTTCCAAGAAGGGAGAGATCAGCTTCCCTGCATAACCTATTTAAATGTAAGTGTTCTTCTCACAAAGGTTTTCCTGATAGCTGATCAAATTTCCTTCACCTGCCATGGCAGCCCATTACTTCTTTTATCTGTAGTGAATGAAAATTACAGATTATTCTATTCCTGTTCCCAGCTATCATTTCAGTATTTGAAGATCACTTTAAGGCCTATTCTAAGTAAATCTCCTTCAAGTTACACAGAATCCAATTCCACTTTTCCTCATTGCTCATGAATTTCTAAGAAAACAAGTTAACACATAAAAGTAAAGCCCTATTAGAAGAGGAGTTGAACAAATGCTTTCAACATTCTTCAAAATCTGAACTATATACACAACCACTATTAGGTAGAGAGAAGAGACCATAATTCATCTGCCTAAATATTTTTGAGCCTGGGAACTGACTTTTGCTTTGAGGAAGAGTTTAGAAGTTTATTATTAAGTGAATTTGAAAGCTATTTTAAGATCTTTTTCTTGTAAATGTTGCTTCAAGTTCTTCAGCCAAACTTCTAAGATCAGCATTTTTATAGAAATATTCTATCTAAGCAGGTTAAAAAAATGGTACAGAGCCAACTCCTGCTGATGACTGAGAAATGAAGATGCTCATTTATTAAATATTTAAATACCAATATCCAACTGCTCAGGCTACAGCAGTGATCACTCATTTTGAAAGCTGATAGTTCTGACTTTTGGGTAATTTATTTATAATCACATCTGCTGAGTGAGGTTTTTGGCCTTTTTAAGTCTCCACAGGGCAAAATATCAAGCTGAGTTTCATTTATTATTTTAGGAAACTATTTAAAAGCCATATTCAATAGCATTTGATCTGATTATTGTAGAAAACATATAGAGTCTTCATTATTTATAGTGATAAAAATAACAGCAGAAGCCCAATTTATTCTGACTCTTTCAAAACCGAGTCACAGAAAATCTGTATTCTAAAATCTACAATACATTTAAGACGTTTTTCATACCATTCAAAAGATTAATTATAATTAAAATTACTCATTGCATAAACAAGTCATGGGTGCAATTGTTTTATAAATCTGGTAAAAGAAAAAACTCCTTTTGTTTCTCTTCTTTTTTGCAGCTAGTTCTCAGGGATTATTTACATGCTTATGTACTTTGAGTCAGAGACAAGAGTACTACTAAAATTTCACCTAAATTTTCAATGGCAGCTAAGGAAAAAAAATTTATTTTTACAAAAATTCAACATGTAAAGTTACAATGTAAGAAAAATTTATTACAAATACTGTATGAAATATATTCTGGTCACTAGTGATAAATATTATAGATAATTACTGTGGATTGATTAAGCATCTTTCCAGCCTAAAGCACACGTGTTCATTTTTAGAAATGTTGGTACTGTTCCATCCCCCCTTTTAATCTATAAAATCTGACCATCCTACTCAGTTTCTATTCTTATCACTCACTAATCTGCATAATTTTAACATGGTGGAATATAGCTAGCCTAGGAATATTTTTTTTTTCTTTTCCTATAATTATACTCATCATGGAAACTGTCACTACCTAATGAAGGATAATTTCTGCTATTATAGGAAGCCTCAGCCATGCTTTTCATGAATAATTCTTAATATGAATCACTATACTGCAGCAAAGTCGGAAGTAAAAACATGTGTTCTCACTAACAAATATCCTTTTAGGGATGAATGAAGCTCTGAAACTCCAGATAAGTACAGTGGCTAACCCTGAAGAACAGTAGTATTCTCATTCATACAGCCACTTATATGACCAAAATATTCACAATTTTAAAAAATTAGATGGTGCCAATTTCTGAAAACCCATCCCAGCTGTCTGAACAGCTTCTGCAGCCAGTGGAAATCCAGGTCCCACCAGAAGATTCAGAATCAAGACATCAATTCAGCCCCTCATGGATGCTTCTATCACAGATCACAGAAAACCAACAGGTAAAACTGCTGATAACTTCACTCATGCTCTTTCAGTTATAAAATCTGCTCATTACTACTCAGTACAGTGTCTATTTCAAAGAGTCTGCAAATACTGATTTCCAAAACAACAGTATAATCTAGAGATAATACTTTTATTTTTATAGTCCAATATCACACAGATTTTTATTTAAGCTAAATCAGCTTTTTCTGGAAAATTTCTTATAGGAAAAAAGTAAGACCACCTCATCTACCAGAAAACGCTCTGTAAAAATGAGTACAAAAATCTACATCTGTATTTTTCTCAAAAGGAAAACAAATCAAATATGTTATTTTCACTATTGGAAGGTATTACTCCCTGAATGGCAGCACACAGAAAAACAAATCCTGTGCATGGATTCTTTCCCCCCCTTCATTTTATCCTTACCTTCCACTGTTTGACCTTCTCTTCTGAGCATCTGGACAGCTCCTACATACTTCTTAAGCTGCACTTTTAGCACCTCATTTTCTCTGTTGATAAAGAAAAACAGTAAATAAATATTGTTTCCCCAAAACAAATGAAAAGTCCTTTTCAATGGGAACAAACAGACTCTCTGTTATAATAAGCTTTACCTAAGTTGTGTCACCATGATGCAAGGAAAAAATTAAATAATGCATCAATAGCAGAGTAGCAGGAAAATTAGTTTCCCAGGACCTCATAAACACATCAGTGAAACAGATTATCTCATGATCAAAACTTTTCCATTAATTTAGATTTTCTGTGCTACACTGATGGCAAACAAACTACAGAGTCTATTTAAATCAACAATCAACTAAAACATAAGGATGGGATGGTACACAAGGAAATTCAGACTGGCCAATGTAAAATGAAATCATTATTTTACTAATTTGCAACTAATTGCAAGCAAATAATAATTCAGCTTTAGAAACAGGCTTTATCATTGTAAGAAAATGGCAGCACCCCAGCAACAATATTCAAGGCAAAAGTTTCCACAAACCATTGCTAAATGAAAAGCATAAGACATGAAATTGAGGTAATCCCTTCAGCTCTCACACTTCAGTGCCTGTGCCTGTCTCATTTCTCTTATTCAAAGCAGATACCACCATGGCTCCACTTAACAACATTAAGCACCTTAGTTCATATTTGGGGAGAAATAAAAAGGGCTCCAACTGATTGATTTTAAACAAAGCTGACAAATCACATGTCTGAAAATTCAATTATCTGTCTAAGCCCATTCAGTTAAGTGAGTACAACAGAAAAGTTTATATACCAAAGAAGCATAACTAAAATGTGTTGCCAGACTCTGAATTCAAACCACTTTTATTTTTCTTTAAGATAATCCTGAGGCAGAAGTATGTAGGTGCCACAAATGCAGCACAACACACAAGGACCCCACAAGTGTTAGAGAGAGGGGGGAATTGGGCTGGCAAGGCCAAATTGTGCTCCAGGCACAACAAAACCTGGACATGGAACACAGCACAGAAAGCTGCAAATAGATGACACACCAAAGAAATGGCATTTTATTCATGGAAATTTATTTAAGAATTAGAAATATTCAAAAAAACACTCAAGTATGTTTGATGGTCCTTATCATACTAGATATACACACACACATAAAATACACATATTTTATATATATACACACTCAAACTGCTGCTGTGAGCAATGCTACACTGCTCCTGTAAGGAGCTTTGACTGGCACAATATTCCCATTCCTATGGATTTCAAGTCAGCTTGCTGAACTTTGTAACCTCAATTTTATTCAGCATTTTAGTAGGAGGTTGCTAAATAATTGAGAAGCTATTGATTGCTTGGCAATCAAATTTTAAGAGTCCTTGATGATTTTGTGCATTTGATGATTTTTTCATTTCTGAGACTACAAAGAACAAATAATTTTTTCCACCGGAGACAGACACTGATATTCAGGGCAAGGGTAAAAAGCATAAAAAACACAGTTTAATCCTATATACAGCATTAAAACAAACTTAAATAACTGATTCACAAAAAAAAATTTCTATGACAACTAAACAAAAAGGTTTCTCACCAGAATTGTAAGAATGTCTGCATTAAAATAACTGTGTACAGTTACAATATATTAAGGAGTCTCATGAAATAACTCTATATCACCTCATTTCTACATATGAGAATAGACTCAGTGCCTTCTGTCAGTTCTGTAACAACATTTTAAAAAATCCATTTTTTACTACTTTGTCTTAAAATTGACTTCAAGTTGATACAGTACAGATGAAGTTGAAAATTACTTTAATTCATTTAAGGTTTTTGATACAAGACTGAAATTCAAAACAGGATACTATGGCCCAGTCACAATTTTCTAATATGCCTCTATCAGGTTATTACTTATTCTTTGCCATCTCTTACTCATTACTATGATTTAGCTAATTCCAAAAAGGGCCCGTCCTGATGTATATGAATTTATATAGTTCTTTTAAACAGAGCATATTTAAAAAACATTTAGTAAGCATATGTTGAAAAGTCTTTAATGACTTCAAGAGGTATTTTATCAGATATATTCCTAACAAGGATTTCACAGGAAGATAAATTCCTGTCCAGGAGTTACAGGTCAGATTTGCAGACTGAAGGACGTTAAATACTTCTTTATGCAGGCCCTGCTGTACTGCAATGTATCCAAACTGCAACACCCAACCTGAAGCAGAACTGTTCACCTGTTGTGAGCCCAGAGGTCAACACAATATTTTCAGTATCTTTAAAGTGCTCCGAACAGTTTCACATTTAGTGCTGAAGAATGAGCAACAGGACTGTAAGTACAAGTTGAAAGGGATAGAGAGGGAAAAAAAAAATTTAAAAATAAGGCTGAAATAGCCAACAAAACCAGGGCAGAACTACATCACTAAAAGCACATCCTTCTCCAAAACCTCAATTGTACCAATCTTCCCTTTCTCCAAAAGCTCAATTGTACCAAACCTCCCTGCCTGATCACTTCTTCCATTTCATAAGCTGAAAGACAGATGGTAATATGTGCTGATATAGGGGAAAATAACAATGATAGAAGATGACATTGTAGTATGCCTACAAATTACTCATTTGCTCAAATAGCAAAGCTCTAGTGAGTGTTATTGTTTAGGCTTCATAGCACATATATAGGAATGATCAATTATATAATGAGTGTTAGTTGTCAAATACCTTCAATTCCCTGCCTAATTTTGAATGAAAAATAATTCCTCTCTATTTTATTATTTTAAAATTAGCATTAAGGAAACCCTGTCTGAAAGAAAATCAAAACTTCAGCCAGAATGGTAAATTTTTTAGCAACAAAAAACAAGCTTGTGTTTAAGAAGCACAGACTTGCCTGTTTTGCATCCAGTGAATGAACACAGAGTATACAGTTTTTGTTGCAGACAAAGAGGCCTTACAGGATTTATTTTCTTATACCTTAATAGAAAAAAAGAAAAAAACAAACCCCAACAAAACTCCACCATACATCTTGAAAACGATATAAAAATTCTCTAGGGGTTCTGTAAAATGAGCATGGTAAGAAAAGAATTTGAAAAAGAGTAATTTCTCTTGTATCTCAGTATAGTGGCCTGAATGTAATTAATTTTTGGCACAAATATCAAACTCTAGCAAGTGCTTTCTGTGAAGCTTACTCCAGAAAGGTGTCTCATTCCTAAATCCAGCATTGGGAAAAATGAAATAAAGCAAAACCAAACAAACTACAAGAATCAAACAGATGTCTATGTTTTGATTAAAAAGTTAAGGTTTTTAGGAAATACTATAAAGGTACCAAATATCCAAACAATAAAAGAACCTGCAGAAATTAAGAATGAATTTAAATAAACAATGTCCTGCAACATTACGTAGAATCTGAAGGACTTCCAGAGGTGCCTTCTAACCTGAATGATTCTACTATGAGGAGATGCAAGATCACAGGCAGTTGTCATCAAATACAATTAAATAAGGAAAATGAGAACTGTTGCTCATGGAAATAGAAGTTGAACTGTACACAATAGAATGAGATTATATAATAAAACCAATCTCCAGAAAAAACTTTAATGAGGAATGATGTGCTAAACTTAATTGCTTGTCCTGGCCTGGGGCTGCTCATGGGCCATCACTGAAAGCTTCCCCTGGCTGGGGGCTCCCTCAGAGATGGAGGCTGGGTGCTTTTCACCTTGTTTAGTTCTTCTCCTTCCTCCTCCTCATGCTACAGCTGCTTCTCCTCCTCCTGCCCCCACTGATGCCCTGATGCCAAATACTCTTCCTCCTGCTCCCTCTGGGAAGCTCCTTTGTCCCTCACTATGGGCTGACTTCCAGTGGGTTTTTTCATGTCCAGGAGCCACTGATGACTTGTGACATGTCACCAAGTAGCTAAGCAGGAAGAAAAAGTCATTTAATATAGGAATATTCAAATTAGTTTTCACAAGCAGGAACAAGAGGTATTTTTCCTCTAAGAGCTGCTAAAGGGAAGTGATGGAACCATTTCAAGATGTACCACACATGAGTTCACCCATCACTGAAGGGCTATGGCTGTAAAAGAAGTGCTGCAAAACAGAATAACAGAAAATGCCAAATCCAAAAGCAATGTGGTTTAAGTAACACAGACAGTAGGTAGAGGAGGCATATCAGGTTAAAGAATCTACAGCAAACAGGAGGTATGTAGAAGTGTAAGATGAAGTAGAGACAAATGCTCAGCCCACATTTCCCCACACAGTGCATTTTCATCTTCTCTATCTGCTTTTCTTGCTACAAAGCCTGTCCTTTGTAATATGCTTTCCTCCAACATTGCTGAATATAGTCTAAGAATATGCAATCTGAGATTATCCAATTTCACAGTCAACTTCAATAAATTCTTTTGCCTTGCAAAGGGATGTAATAGTATTCCACACAGAAAAGAAGAATCTCAATTTAAAAGCTTTAGTATTGCCAAGAAGCCACTGGCACAGTATGTCCATGCAATTTGAGAAAGGTTCATTGACAAGAACAAAAAAAAAATCAAAAACAAACAAACAAATTAAAAAAAAAGTGGGGGGGAAGCCCCAAAATACTAGAGAGACTACTGAGTGTATTCTATCAGAAGACTAGCAAATAGATTGAACCTGAGCCTGCTCCTTTTGGAACAATATAGCAGCTGTTATGAAAGACTTATTCAAGTATTTCACATGGAACAATGATTACCACTACTTGAAACTAAGCTCACCTAAGACTTCTTCCATTTCTCAAAGAGAAAGTGGGAAACTTGGGAAAATGTCTCTCAGTAAACTAGCATTTTGTCTGGGAGGCCAGAGGCTCTTGGGAGGGTCCAGGAGAACAGCTGAATCACAGCAGATTTCCAGAAGCCATCATTTCAGTACTGACTGATGTGTCACTGAAATTTGTGTTCTCAAAGCCTTCAGGAAGCTATTTACGTCAAATTCTTCAAAAGAGCTTTGGGGACACACATAAATATCAGCTCTCATAATCTGAAAAATAGTCATTCATCAAATCACAACAGTCAGATTGTTACTGAATGATTTCCCTTGCCTTAAAATATTCAGAACATCACAACTGAGGAAAATTTTCTACTCTGGTCATGTGATCAATTGTTTTCAAGGGAAATAGTGAGATTTCACTACTTCAAAATATCTAAAACTTGGTTTCCTATTACTCACCTAACATATTATGCAGCACTCAAAAAGCAATTCCAAACTTTCTGTTACATCAATTCTTTAGATTATTCAGCTTGCTCAACTTCTTGGTTTAAAGTACTATTTATTTTAAAAATTTACTACTCTTATTACTGCAGCAGCATCACCTACAGCATACAAAGTGAACCAACTAAAATTTAGAAGAAAAGCTTATATTCCAAAGAAACTACATGCAAAGTTTCTTGTGTTAGGATGTTAGAAAATGAGTTGCTATGAATCATTAAAGAAATGCCTCCCAAATTCAAAGTAACCAGTGACACATGAATTTATCATGCCTCAGCAGCTCCCAACACTGTTTTTATCACATGACAAGGCAAACTGACTTTCAGAAGAGCAATCAACACAACACATCCATATAGCAATAAGAGCAATTACACAGACTTATTTAAAAATACCTCATTAGTCAAAGTGAGCACCTCTTCAGGTCTGGTTATAAAAGCTCCTTATCTATTCTTTAAAGAGGTACGTGCATGACAAATATCTGATTCACCCATATGTCACTGCAAATTCTAAAATTGTGGGGGAAGTGAGTCAAAGAAATATGAATATACAACTCCTATAACCTGAAACATGAATATTAAATGATGAAGTATTTGCATTGTCTCTACTGCCTTACAGCACATGCATGTCAAACCCACTTATTCATATCTCTCCCTCCCTCAAAGCAAGTAGTTTGGTTTGATGTGTCATCAAAAGCAGAATTAGTAGTGTCCTAAATACCTTTACTTTTAAGAAAGCTTTATATTTATCACTTTCAAATAGGCAGTAAAAAGCTTAAAGGAATCTCAGCTGTGGTACTTTATGATTGACACCAAACACACTCTGCTCATGCATGCAGAAAACCAACACCTCTCTCTGGGTAAGGCAAATTATTTAACTCTTGTATTGTTTGTTGTTTACTATACACATGAATCACCCCCAAGATCCTACACATCATGGTTACTCTAGAGTTTATTTTGAATTTTAAGAAGCAAATCACACTATTACAGCAGCATTTACCTTCCAAAGTCCTTCTGAAGCTGAATCCCAGTTAGACAAGGAGAGAGTTAAAATTCTTTATTTCACTGTAGCACAAAGTCAAGCTGGAGGCAACTCAATATTGGGGCCAATGCTGTTTAACACCTTAACCTCACCTGGGCCAGAGCACACCCTCAGCAAGGTCACAAACACAAATCTGAGGAGCAGAGACACTGTGTGGCTGTGCTGCCACCCAGGGGGACGGGGACAGGCTGGAGAACTGGACTCAGAAAATGTCTGTGAAATTCGACAAGAGTAAATGCAGTCCTGCATCTGGGGAGAAATAGCTCAGGACAGCCAGGCAATGCTGGAGGGCTGGAAAACAGCTCTGTGGAGGAGGATCTGGGAGCCCTGGGAGACAGGAGCTGAACATGAGCCTGCAATACCCCCTCCATGGCAAAGCCAGCCAAGAGCAGCCTGGGCCCCACAGGAACAGCACTGCCAACAAGTCACTGCCAACAGTGCTGCCCAAAGGGACTCAGGAGTCTCCATCTGTGCAGATATTCAAAGCCTGACTGGAAATGGTCCTGAGAAACCTGTTCCAGCTGACCTTCCTGGGGCTGTGGGAAGAACAGCTGCACCACTTCAGAACTTGGTACTTGTTTGTTTATAATGTTTAGCAGGAGCTATTGCTTACCATGGGACTTTTAGTCCTAAATCACTTCTGTTCTTCTGCAAACTTAGCTACTTGAATATTATTTCCCTTCTATACAGACTGTTATTCCCTTGTTCCCCTGCAGTTATTTCCCAAGACATCTGCAGCAGTTCTTACCGTGCCAAGGCCTGGACCTTGGTGGCATGTCTCTCCTCCTGCTCTGCCACCTTCCTCCTGCAGTTCTCCACCTCCTGCCTCAGAGCTGCAGAATGCTCCATCTCTGCATCCAGCAGGTTCCTCAGGGATCTGCAAGAGAGCAGCAGTCTCTCTTTAGGACACTGCACACACTACCTGCTAATTAGAGTATACTCCAAGAATCACAGAGGAGTGATACCACTGATGTCCTCCAAAAATTTCATTAGTCAATTTAATAAATTCAACTGATTTGATTATACGGAGATGTTAAAAGCTAAAAGGAAAAAAAAAGGTTGAAAATGTTTATTTTTAATTTGTATTACTATCCTGTCAACAAGCCCAAAGCACAACTTATTGTGGAATCTACTGCATCAGTATGCAGAAAGAATCTGGTTTTTTAAAAAGCTGGTAAGCTGTTTTCAGTACTTCAGTGCAAGTCCATACATCTTGGGAATAATCTATAAGCAATATATTTATAGCAAGCCAGGCAGGGCTCTTGTCATGCCAAGTGCACTGCCACAGACCTCTGTGTAAAAACCCTTGATGAGATAGCAAAGGTCAGCATGATGCACAATGGTAAAACCCAAAGCATCCTGGTCCTTCTGCCAAAAAAAGCCCACAAAGCTGAATGAGGCAATAACTTGCAATTATGGGAGTGGGAAGAATAGGAGGAAGGAAAATGGGATCTGTTGGTAAGCTCAGAATTAAAAAACCCAAAATACCCTTACTAAAGTATTGGATGCATTTGTATTTTCATTCATCTAACTGTGTGTTTCAATAAACTAAATAAATACAAAGTATGTTTGATGGCATTTTATATAAGCAACTGATCATTTCTACATTTACATCATCATTGTGCCCCAAGTGAACACAAAGACAGCCAGAAATGAAAGTCACTTTCAGCATTACATTGTGAGCCATCCTACATCACTTCTTCACCAGAAGGGAAAAAACAAATTTTCTGAATATTTGCATTGGGAGAAACTTTTGCTTATTTAGAAAGCTATCTTAACACAGCTTCAGAATCTCCTGGCTACAAGGTTTGGTTTTGAAAAAACTAAAACTGCAAAACTCCCAAGGTACAAAGAGTTACAAAGAGTTACCTGATTCAAACTAAAAGCAAAAAGTTACCTTCAAAACACTATTCTTCGGTATCAACATTTAAAATGTGAATTATTAAGTTAACCTTTCAAGGAAAAAATAATATATACATCAAAAAGGTTACAGAAATATTATGCATAGCTTTACAGAAAGAACAGCTTGTATTAGAGAACAGTTTGTTTTTTTAAATTACAGTCCCTCTTGACTAAAAACCACAAACTACCTATTCTGTTCTTCCAGCTCATCCTTTCTATTCATCATGGCCACGATAGCTTGACGAAGTTCATCTAAAAAAGGAACAAAAAGGATTAATGTCTGTGTCCATTTTTGCTCATTTCAGATCTAGAAGTCATGTACACAGGCAGCACACTTAAGATGATGCCAACACCATTTGCTATTCAGGAAAGCACATAAAAATACTCTTAATCTCATCACTAATTTGAGCAATCTTTCAAAAGCAGAGTTATTTAACACCACATCAGAAGTATTGATCAAATCAAATCAGTCTGCATCTGGCTTTAATACAAATGTTTACAAGTGTGCCTGTGGTTGCAGCTGTTTTGTTTTCACAGATGTAGGGCAGAAAGCACCTTTTCAGCACATGCCTATTAATGAGATACACTGTTACTTGCTCAGCTTCTCCAAATTGCTTCTTCTCCTGGCTGTAAATCCTGCCACAGGAAATAACTGCTACAGGGAGATGGGAGCAGAGATAATGGCATTGCTTCCTCATGGCATTGTTGCTCAAGTTCAGCCCTAAAGATGATGAGACTTCTGAACCTCATCATTTCCTATTAAATCCTTTCTATCTTTTTACAAATACCATAAAAATACTTTCTGTCATTAAATCAAGAATTTTTTTTTAGACAACCAACAGAAGTTTAGAATTTTTAAAGATTTCCTTTGGGTTAGGTTTAACATGACACCAGAACAGCCAAATACCATACTGAAAAGTGTCAGCTCCAACAATTTCATTAACAATTTCACATATGTTGATCAATAATTTTATAAGTGCTACAAGGACACAATTATATTAAACCATCCCTCCCAACATTTAAGTGAAATGTTTATATAAAATAAATCAGCCAATTCTGTTCTGTGAGTATTCAATGCAGATGCCAGTAAATTTCAGTGTGCTTTTACTGAAAACATACTAACAGAACTGGTATTACTTGAATTCTTCAAGCAAGCAAAGCCACTGGACAACTTTTTTCCCCTTGACATTCAGTCCATAGTATCTTTCACCTGTATCTTTCTTAGTATTTTCTATAGTTACAGAAGTTTTTGCCCATTTTAAAAAAAATAGCATTTTCCTATGGCCAGATGGAGTCTGACAAACTCTAGTAGTGGATAAAATGCAAAAGATTTTATTATATCAACCAAATGTTGACAGCCAGTGCTGCAGACATTATGATTCCAGTCTGGCCTTGGCAACCTGCAAATAAATCCCACCCCTGCAGGACTGCAGAGTTCAGCAGAGTTCTTGTGTCATTTGAAATCAGCCAACCAAAATTTCTTCATGCTAGATTTCTTTCCAAAACATTCCTGAGTTTGTGGCCAGGGAGAAAGTACATGATCAGTTTTCTGCCTACTCCATAATACCCATATTACACTTTAAGAGCTAAATGACATTAGCAAGAAACATTTCAGTAGGTCATTAGAGGGAGTTTGCACTTCATTAATTCAGCATAAAAAGGATAATTATTTTTCTACAGTAACTTAGCATATTTTATGCAACCCTAAAAAAAAAAAAACCCAAATCTTGTAGAAAAACTGAAAGTGAAACAGTGAAATTTCTGGGTATTAAATAGCACAAGGGACCACAATCCATCAGCCTACCTGTGAAATAAACAGTTGCTCTAGGGATGAGGAAAATGCAATAATCCAGTGTTAGAGCATCATACAAGTAAACAACAGAAGCAAAAGGATCCACAGCAAGCTTTCTGTACAGTATCACTCCATAACAAAACAACAATCTTGAACCATAATGTTGAATCCAGAATCCTCAAGGACACATCAAGCCGATGGCATTCTAAATATTTTAAGTGTGCCATTAAAATATGATAGTGCATGATCAACAAGTAGTTGTTGTTATGTCTCTAACTCTGAATAAATTAAAGCTGTTGCTGCTCAGACACGGCTCTGCACTTGCACAGGGCACCCACTCTGCAGCAATTGCCTCTGTGTGTACTCAGACTTTTAATGTGTACTGATTTATTAACATTTATACAGCTAAACTATTATAAATTGGCTTCATTATTTCAATTTACAAGCCTATTCAAACTGTAACCTTAACTTGCATAATAACTTAATCTTCTTTTCCTTATTCCATCCAGAATCTTCTGCATGAGCTGAGACCTGAAATTCCATCTTTTCTCACTCCCCTCTCCCACACACACACACAAGCAGAGCACAAAAGCAAGATCCTGCTAAAGACCGTGGTTTGCACAGAAGAGGAAGGAAAAAAAGCCTCTTGAAATAGAAGACTTTAAATTGCTTATTTATTTTCATTTGCCTCTTTTTTCTGAGAGTCATGGAATTGATAATACTACAGAGACACAACAAAGCAGAAATTCCAAATTTCATTATCACATACAGGGCAAAAATCGATGCTTAATTCAGGACCACAAATGCAAACACATTTCATCCTCAGTATTTCTTGCTAATTTATCTCAATTACAGGTACCAGTGTAGGTGTGGATAAAAGCATCAACACAAACCACCAGTGAGGGATAAGAGACCAGAATTCCAAGAAGGCTGGTCCAGCCCAGCAAGATTGCTCCATGGCTATAGCTCTGCTGATTCTTCTTGAATTGATGAGTATTAAGAAGTCATATTTTCTATAAATTACTCAAAATAAACAAAATAACTATATAGTTTATAATCAACACTTCTTTAGTCTCTCTATCCATAGTAAACACAAAAAAGTAAAACATTATTAGTGTAATTAAATGAGCAAAAAATTACCAAGAAAAAAAATCAGAAACCTTAATGTCATGATCTTTTGAAGCAAGGAACAGAGTAGAACTAAAAGGAAACCATCCTATTTAATTCAGGTGTAATATTTAAAACTTTCAAATATTTTAATTTCTTACTTTCACTTACGCTTCCTGAAAAATTTCAGCAGCATGTCAGAGCAGTCAGCTGAATGCAAAGGAAATCCAGGATCATACACTGCAGCAGGTTCCCTTCAAATCTGCCAGAACATCCCCAGTTCATGAGCTTTTGTCTGTCTGCTACACTTGCCTCCAAGATGAGTGTATGATCATAACCCAATTTTTCCAGCAGTCTTATGTCTCATACATTGTGTGGGTTAGAAAAGGGAATAAATTTTTAAAAATGTCAGGGTTGTAGCAGCAACCATAAATTTGGCATTTTCTGACTTCTGAACTGTGCAACCTCAATCTTTCTCCCCTCCCCTTTTTTTTTTCTTTTTTTAATAAAACAGTGGGAGGATGGCCAAGTATTCCTAGTTCACAAAAGTGTTTGACATTAGAGTTTATGTCCTACTTCTGAGCTGTTTTGTGCTTGATAACATTTATGTTCTGTAAAGTAACATTAATGAAAGGCAATACACAACTGTTATTAAGGATCAGCATTCAACAACAATATATCTAAAAGTGAAGTGATAACCTGAGTTCCATAAAGACAGAGATGATAACTAGTGAAGTTTTTCTTAAGAAGTAGTTTTGCAATGACTTCTTAAAAAAAGAATACCCATGTACAAACAAAGAATTCCAGACCCTTCTTTATCAGCAAAAAAAGAAAATATAATATTAAAAAAATCAAGGAATGTACTAAATAATTTTTTCATATTAAACCTCACTTTTTTGAACACTAGCAATATTCTTTCATTGCTGAAATTAATCTGTGGTGCCTAATTACTTATGAAGTGAGTATTTGCTCTAAAACATTTTTTAATTCCATTCCATACTTCATGCAAAAATCTAGCTTCTAGAAAGCTTTCATAGGGTCACAGAGCACGAAATATATAATGCTTTGAGGAACACCTGCCAGTTTCCAGCAACCTCCAGAAAATTCATAAGTTTCACAACTCTTGTGCTATTTAGCCAAAGATTGGAGCAGTATGATTTGCAATCACCTGTTGTGAAGAATGAGCTGTAAGTGAAATCATCCCTCAGAGTACACAAGGTCATGCAGCCTCCTCTGCAATCCTGCAGATAGAGTATCAGGGTGGGCTGGGAACAGTTTACAAGAATTTTTATTTTTTTTATTTTCATGAGTGAAAATTTACACAGATATTTTCAGAGACAAATAAGACTTCCAGCAGACTAGTTACATCTTAAATCAGAAGTGTGACCTTTAAAGACTTAAGGAGCTTGATGCTCCCTAAGCTGCCTACATGAACACTGTGTTTTAAGGCTTAATTTAGTGCTCAAAAACCTTGTAAATATTATCCTGTCATGTCACTATTCACAGGGCAAATTTTAGTAGGAAACAAATTGTGTTGCCCTTCTACTGCATAGAAGAGTCCTGGAGAAAACCAAGCCTGTAAAGTAAACTGCAGCTTCCCTCCCTTCACAGCTGTGCTTCCAAAGAAAAACAGGAATTTAGTACCTGCCAGTGACCTGGGGCATCTGGGCCACAGAACAGGTCAGCAGCTATTCAGAGGACACCAAGTACAAAAACACCTTATTCACTTACACAACCAGGATAAAAATATAACATGGAGGTTTGATTACTCAGTAAAGCTCTTCAGTGATCACAAAAAGCTCAGGGATTTCTCAGGAATATATGAAAAAGTATGGAATGATGTACAATGCTACAACCTTTCCTAACCTTTGTGGTGAAGCTCAATTTTAAAAACTGAAGAAAATGATAGTGAAAAGACTAAATTACCAATTACTTCCTAAAAATAGTACTATAATAAAAGAACCTTATAAAGAAGAGGAGAAGTAGTGTCCTTCTAAAAAGAAAGTTTTGCAACTTATTCTTTTTTCTACTGAAAAGCAAAATGGAGAGACTTGTGCTGGTAGAAGAGATTGCTCTGGTGAAAAACAATGCTGAAAATACAATCCTCCATAGCAACTCCTGAAACAGTGTTGTTTGTGATTCAAGTGCAATAGGAGAAAGACAACTTTTAAAAAAGCTGAAATTACATACTAGAGTAGATGCATAAATAGAAAATTTCTGACCACCTTAACTCTTTATAAACTTGGTTATGACAAAGCAATCTGCAAAGCTGGGCCAGTTCTCAAATTATGCCTGACATAAACAGCAAAGCTCTGTGGATTTCTCTTAAGTGGTATTAGTATTTTTGAGATGTATCTGTGGCTAGGTTAAGCTATATCTTTACAAATGCACAGGACATAATTCAGGAAAATAATTTTAAATGGCAGAAATTTGAAATTACAGCTTCTCCTAACTTACTAGTTGCATATCAAAAAAAGTAAGAAAAGTTGAGTACTATCCTAATAGGTTAGAACAAAAGCAGGAAAATAATATAATTTGTTTAAAATCCATTTCAGGTTTTGTCTCCAAAAGTAAGAAACACAGAGATCCAGTCACTGGAGACCTCACAGCTTTTCTCACTGCACTACTGCATTCCATTTTTCTTGCCTGATGTGTTAGAATCAGTTGCTATGCAACCAAGCTATAAGCCTCAGCATTTAATAATTCTTCTGCTAATTGCAACAGAGAGAAAGAGCTTCAGTGTCTGACTTTGTCATAGCACTGAATTCCTCCTGTAGGGAATCTACAACCAATAACAGCAAACTTGAAAAAAGCATTTTTATTCAACATACCCAGGATCATCTATTATAAAGGTAATCACTAATTCTATAAATGTATAGTCAGCTGAATTTTAATTATAATTATGATTATTTGCTCGGTGTTCTACTGGTTTTATAGATGGGTTTGACATGCTTCCCACCCTCCCCTTCACCAAAGCCTTCTCTGAACTGGGAAACTAATGATAGTGTGCACACTTCTGTTGATCCTGTGTTTTCATTTCATTTACAAATTGCTAAGTATTGAGAATTGAAAACCTCCAGATTTTCTATCTATTTTGTAGCTCTTACCTACACTGGGAAATAACTGAGCAACTGAAGGAGACCAACTGCGGCCCCTGCTGGTTCCTGACTCCCTTACAAACAGCAGAGTAACAGTGCAGGGGCACCAGAAAACGGCCCTGAGCAATTCTCTGAGAAATAAATAAGAACAAATGGATGTTGTAGGGATAACATTAGCAGAGGATATCAAGTGACCAAAGATCACTGTAGCTAATAATGGTAAATCCATTCCACACTTTAATTATGGCTCCTAGAAGTCCCTAACTAGTTTGCCACTTGGTGACATACTTTGTAAGAAAGGATTTTTCAGCTTTGTAAAGCTCAGTCAGCAGACAGTGCCAGAGCCTGAAACACTGCCCAGTGAAAATGTTTGTTTTCTCTCCTTTAACACAGGTTGATACAGCATTTGAATACAACTTTAGAAAATGAGATTAGAATATCTTAAGATTTCATTCATTTTGATGATGCATGAATCAATTGTAGAAAACAATCCTGGCTGCATCACTTCTGACTTCCCAAATGTCATAACTTAAAACTTGTAGATATTGAAGTTTATAAGAAGAAACAAACACACACCCAAGAGCTTTAGGAACAAAGCCTGTTCAGTTACAGAACATTCTGTACACTGAGGAACATAAACACATACTGGGTTACAAGCTTAGACATTCAGTTTAAGAACTAAGTCTTTGTTCTACAAATGTATGCAAAGAAAAAATATCAAATATGTGATAAACAAACTGCCTGTGCTTCTATTAATCTACCTCTGCAGCAAAGACTATTTCATCCTGTCTAGCTTTGCTCTTAATGCCACTGAAACATGACTGTCCTCCCCCTTAATCTTACCTCAAGTTTTTGTGAAAGTCCACATTTATGTTTGGAGCAGATTTCCATATCAAAATCACAGAAAGAGTGGGATTTTTTTGTTTGTTTGTTTCTGACTAGCCATTAATGAAAACAGGCAAAATAAGCAAGACTACATCAGAACTAACCCTCAGAACTTGAAGAAATTTAAAGATGTTAATCAAATCATTATTTTTCATTTAACTACTGAAGACACATTTAATATAAGGACATATCAGCTGCAATGAAGCATAACCTGCCAATACAAACAGCATTTTAGAGCAGTTATTATAACATGACCAGCACATCAGAAATTAAGTGCTCCAAGACTCTCTAAGCAGATTTTATTGAAACAAAAATAGAAAGAATTACAGGACTTTTAAAGGTATTTCTATCAATCTAGAGACATCAAGGAAGTACTTACTAATTGTCATGGATTCTGGCACAGTGGCTGAAGGCAACATACTGCTTAAAGTATTCACTTGAGCTGGAGGACTGACTTCCACTCTAGTCAGAAAAGCACAGTAAAATCAATATATGAAAACAAAATCCTGAATTCAAAACTTAAGAAAAAATATTCCAGAAACTAGAATTGTTGTCCTATTCATCCATATTTAACCAAGCTATGTTGAACAATCCTTTCATGGGAGGATTTTACCTCATGGGAGTCTGATTTAAGCAGGCACACAAAAATTCCAAATTAAAAGGCCATGGAGAATATAGTAAAAAAATAACATAAAAACCAAGATAAAACCTATTTTCAAAACCAGGAAGCCAAGTCTGTTATTTGACATAAGTGAGTGACTTTCTCAAGATAATTAGGAAAGTTCAGTGTATGAAACTATGTTAAAAAGGCAATTGTAGGTTTTTTTCATTTGTCTTTCCAAACATATGCAGAAGTATCCTGATGAGCAGTTGGTTTTGCAGTACTAAGTGCATTACTTAACAGTAAGTTGGCAGCTACAGGGTGAAGGTTTTTTTCTTTCAGGACAAACATATTTGGCACATACCTGTAAGGAAGATCAGATCTCCTTGGAACCAGTTCTACCGGATGAACAGTATGTTCATGCCCCTCTCCATTCTCCAAGTTATCTAAAGCAGAATGCACAAGCATTAGCTTCCTTTGGGTTACACTACTCAAAAAATAAAATAAAAACATAAATCCAGAAGTTAGATAGTTACCTTTCTAAACAGAAACACTCAACTTACTATAGCTTTAAAACACTTTTAATTCTGTCTCCAAAGCTGGTTCTGCAAATTGACCCTGAATGCCAGCAGGATTGTCAAGACTCTTAGGGGAAAAAAAGTCAAAGCATAGCACAATTCCTGAATTACACTTGATATGTACAGAGTTACACATCCATGAGAAGACTTCTTCCTGAAGGTATTTGTGCAAGCCCCCAGAGCTGGAGCACCTCACAACACCTCATGCTCACTACAAATCTGGTTGTGACTTGCAGGAGAAGAATTTGTGGTTAGTCCCCAGCACGTGAAACCTTGCAAAGACATCAGTGCTTTCTGTATTCCCAACAGAGCACCATGGCTTTTCCCTGGCTCCTCACATCCCTGTACCAACCATCAGGAATCAGACAGATGAGATACTGTTTAAAAAGCATGAATAATGTGCATCTGTCCACAGATCCACAGCTGTCGGCACCAAAACATCCACATGACTGAGCCTGTCATGGAGGAAACTCAGGTGGAAACAAACAAAACTCATTTTATTGATGTGTTCTGCATCTCACAATGTAAGGGCTACGAAGATACTACAAGACAATCCTAAATAGAACAGATTCTATTCTGATAGAATAGAAGCAGAAATTCTAGAAAATAAGTTAATGGGAAATAAAGTTATTATGGAGAAAATTATTTTTGAAGCCGTAGAGATTACTGAAGCTCAGTTCCTAAAATACATAATCCATTTTTGTTCCAAGCAACTGCATTTTGATGGAGGCTTTCTCATTTCTAGCTACCCAGAGATATGATATGCCCTGACACATCCCTGGAGCACTGCAACAGATTAATACTGAAAACACATATTAACATACAACACTATAGATAATGTTATCTCCAATATATATATATGTGTGTGTATGTGTTATTTATTGGTATTAAAACCTCTAAACCAAAATACTGGGTTAAACTATATATTTTACAAGAGCTCATTAAGCATATTTTAACAAAAAATATCAGGATAATAATGAGCTTGTCAGTTAGTGGGCTGGACTGCCCTCAGAATAAGCTAATGCATGTTCCTTCTGACATCATTCACCCAGCACAAGTGCAACTCCCAGAGTCAAGCAAACAAATGCCTAAGGCAGCTTTCAATCTCAGCAAACTGTCAGTGTGCCTGAGGAGAGGGTGCCTGGCTCCCTGTGTATCCTGTCCCTGACTGCTGGCACTTGGGTGTGCAATGTGCACTCAATGCAGCCCTGCCTGCACCCTCCATCTGCTCCTCCTGTTCAGAGGTGAGAGCAGGAGAGCACACAGTGCGGTTTGGAGAGCTTTCCTAGCTCTGATCAACTGAGGCCCTTCACCAGCCCAATGCTGGATCACTCTCACTTGCATGACAGGTCACAAAGAGGGACTGAAGGAGGACTAAAATATCTGTCCTGTGCCCAGAAGGGATCTGAATGGGCCTGTTGATCATCTCCAGTAGGCTGAGCATTGCATTCAAAACAGTTCTGAGATAAGCAACACAAAACAAGGGGCTTTGGTGTCTTCTCAGTAAGGGTAAGCCCCTGGGACAGCTATGGATAAGATGCATACAAATATAAACAGATATACCTCATCTGCCTCCAGAACTAAGTGTTGGCTTGCACTCCTGATTTTGGATTTCAGATCAACACCCAGCTCATGCTCCTGATGCCTGGTGACATCCACTGACAGCAACTGTTCCATTCCACACACACCCCCCACAGACAGATATGGATTTTTGTATTCCAGATTCCAACCTGTGGATGTTCCCCAACAGTTTCTGGTTTGTATTGAAGAGATAACAATGCCACAAACTACTCAATGTTTTCTAAATCCATTCCTTTGTAAATTGAAAAATATGGCAGCAGAAGAAATAATTTTAAATGTCCTTTTTTTTAAACCACTGGCATTTCTTATGAGGTACATATTTTAAAATACAGCAGAGGGCAGTGCAGCATTATTTTATGATTCACAGTTTTGTCACTAAACTTACACAACTGAATTTCACTTTTTCACAGGCCTTCAATCAACAATCCATTTAAACTCTTGGACATATAATGTGTATGTAAAAAAATGAGAAATATACTACCATTAAAACAATATTTGAATACCACTGACAAGTTTTTAAATGGTCACTGAAATGAGTACACCCAAAGTTCAGTGTTTTATGAACAACTAGAAAAATATCAACAGGGTGAAGGGGAGGGCTGGTGGACTTTTTTCTTTGGTTTTGGTACTAATATAGATATTGTAAAAGCCCCAGGCCTTCTTTTCCATTCCTTTACCCATTTTTATTGCTTGCTTCAAATGGTCCACATCATTCTGGAAGTGTCCCTCACTGCACACAGCTGCAGCTGAGGCCACAGCAGAGCCAATGGAGCTCACACTTACAAATGACACTCTCACTCATGCACAGCTCTGTTCATTCACTATCAGCTTGTAACCTGTAGAAAACCATTTGAGGATACTGGCACAGGAAAAATTAGATGTGAGCTGGCAAGTGGTGCTCACAGCTCAGAAAGCCAGTCTTAGAATAAATGATCTCTGCAGATGCCCTCCAACCCAAACCATTCTACAATTTCCATATCCTTTTCTGAGCAAGTATTTCCTAGTCAATCATTCCTTACACTGTGTTTCAACAATTAACAACTTCCACTGAACTGCTTCCAGCTGCTCTCTGGTATGTCAAGATTAATTTGAATTCAAGTTCTCAAACACACTTGGAGCTTCTTGCAGCTTAGAGGTATCTAGAAAACGGATATGGACACTTTTTATACAACCATCCTAAACTTCAATGAAATACAAGCCCACAGCTTAATCCCAATGAAACTCTGGTTTATTTTGACATTGATAACTCCCCCTTAACTAAGTAACTACTCAAATGGAGAACTGATTCAGAACTAGAATAAACTTGAATTGAACTTTTTATCCCAGTTGTGCAGTACCTGCTTTGTCTGTACAATCCTGTTATTCTTACCATTGTCCCATGTTAGAATAAAGGTTGCTGGAATTCTGTGAATTCAAATGCCCACCTGTTTGGGAGTAAGAGCCAACAGCACTGACAGGAAATAGAACATCTGAGTCATCATTCAGGACCTGCAGAGGACTCCAACTGCATATCTGAGAACTGCATGTGACTATTTCACGAGGCCTATTTAGAACAAACAAACAAACAAACCATCTATTTATACAGCCAGTATTACTGTTCATAATGCTTATGTTTCTTTCAGAGATACCACTGCAAGAAAAATCTTTATTTCAATCTGCCTGTCAATTTCTTGGTCAGCCATACGTTAATTGATTAAAGACCAGACATTCCAAACCAGAGGAGATAAGCAGCACTTGCCTTTTTCTCTAAACAAATTTCTGTCAGAATAATTTTAGATACTGATATGCTTTCTTTATTTCTTTCTCTCTCAGTTTTGTCCTGCCTTTTTGAACTGTCTACACTCTGATGTAACAAGCTTACTCTGTTTAAAATACACATTTTTATTGTGAAGCCAAAATAGAATTGCTATCATACTAAGAATGAGGAAATATCAAGTAGGCCAGAACTATATCCTGGTTATATCATGCCAGAGTTTTAACAACTGAGAACTTCAAGGAGAACAAGAACTCTGAGATCTCAACATTTGGAGTTTCAGTGAAACTTAGAAGCAAAATATCATCACTGCAGTGGCATATATTGTTTAAACAGTAAAAAGAAAAAAAAAAGAGGGGGGAAAAAAGGTAGGGGAGGAGAAAAATAGGGAGAGAAAAAAAAAAGAGAGAAAACCTACAGTTCAGTTCAACACATGAATTTCCAGTAGCCATAAAAAACAGGGGAGGGGTGGAGGGGAAGCATGGAAAGTTTACCACTATCTCCTGCACCAATACTTACTTTTCAGAAGCTTCAGTTCCACCCTCTGTGCCTTTATTTCCTAATGATTTTCCATACAGCTCATCCTCATCTGCATCTTCATCATCAATGCTCTTCACATCCAGTTTCTGGTATTCATACTCTCCATTCATGAATACTGAATTGTTCTTCCACGAATGGTTACTTTCACTCCCATTCAGATTTTTTCCCAGAGTGCTTTCAGATGAAGACAATGCAAGAACTGAAGATCTGTCTACACTCTCCTCTGAACTTTCTCCTGTCATCAGAGTCTTTGTGCAATCCCCCAGATTTTGCTCATCTTCCTCTTCATCAAATGAGATAATATTAGTCACCCTCTTCTTCTTTTTTCGATCTTTTTTGTATTTCAAATCTAGTAGTAATACAAAGTTTTTACACAGTTTAGAAAAGAGAAATGATATATGAAACCTTCTTTTTTCTTAAAAGAGCTCATGTACTAACTTACTCTAATCAAGAAAAAAACCACTTAGATCTACATGGCATTCATTATCTTTCCATACACATGAGCTTTTAAATGTCTAATTACCAGCTTTATTTTATAAGTCTTACATAATTTAGATTTTAAAAGATATTCTGGAGATGCATTCATAACATGATTCAATTGAAACTGGAAAAAAAGTTCTACAAACTCATGAAATTAAATTTAAAATAGTAAGTTAGCCTTCCTGTCATTTCCTCCTATGGACTGCACCTAGTGTACAATGCAGAGCAGGTCTGCACAACAGAGAAAACATGAAGCACTGAAAAGAACAAACCCACAACACGAACAAAATCCACAACCTGCAATCAAATAGTTTTATCTATAATCTAAAAACTGAATAGTCAACTTTCAGCTAATTAGCTCTTGGTCTAGAAATACACTGAAATTCTCTCTGATTACACCAGATGTATTCAGTGCCAGCACTTATTTTTACACTATTATCTATTCTCACTGAATCTGATGTGCATGTGGAGCTAAATGCAAAGCTGAAGCACTCCAAGAAATATCAGAAATCACTCACCAAGACACTCACACTGGGACCAAATTGCTTTGTTTAATTCAAGTCCAGCTGTTATATATCCACAAAGCACACTAACATACTTTTAAAAGGATGTTAAAACCCATTCTGGTTGCAAATAGAATTACAACAAAGAACACAGACTTCAATGGAAACATCTGACTTGCTCTAATGTTCCACATGTAATTGCATTTGAACAAACTCAATTTTTTTTAAGTGGCATTTCACTGGAAGTTGTCCCTTTCATGTTCTGTATACACATGTGCTGTACACACCAGGTACATCACATTGTGGAGTCACATGCACCATATGGCAAATTACTGCCTTTCATCTTGCAAGGCTATTCTGTACTAACAAAGTTATCCCAAGTCAAGTATCATATACAATTTTAATCTCATTTAAGTGCTATACAACAAAAGCTTTACCACAAATTTGCTCTAAAAACTGTGTTTTAAGACAAAATCTATTTTGAATGCCAATAAAAACCAGATTTTATCTCAACTTCTGTTCCTACCAGATTCTCATGTGGGGTTTGTGCTTTTTTCTCATAAGCAAAACAATTTATTGCCTAAATTCAAACCTTGTTTCTTAATTGAAAAGCACATAAATCTTCCTGCTGTTTTGTAGTTTCACAAAGCAAAACAAACTTTTGACTCAACTTCCAGAAACAGAGATAATAAAATATTACTTTGGTAATTTTGGAACAAAAAATATATAACGAAAATCACATTTTCCTTGACTGATTTCAAATAATAAGAGATTAAGACTTTGGGTCTTTGTCAGTAACTAACATCATACAAGCTGGTTGTAACACTAAGAACTCTAAAGGTAAAGAGTGTATGAGTAAATCTTCATTTAGGCAATTATCTGCTTTGCATAGGAATTCAGACTGTAAACAGTCACTACTTGAAGCAGATTATAAACTAAGATTTGCATCTGATATTTAAGAAAATATATAAGTCACTGTATGTCTAACTGGCAAGGTGGCAAAAGACAACATTAAAAGTGAAAAATCATCACATCACAAACTTAAAAGCATAATTTTGTGAACTAAAACTCAGGTCACAAGAAAAGCTGTACCAATAAAACAGTTTAGCTTCCCTCTCACAATGATACAAGAATGCTGAAATACAGTTACCATCCAGTATTCACACCCAGTATTTCCAATTTCATGCTTTTTAATTACCCTCTCAAGTGGTTTGTATGCACAGCGCACTTATTTTAAGACTTCTGCTCTACAACAGTACATTAAAAGTAAATGTAAAAGTTATTTAAACACACTTGAATAGTTCCTAAGTTTCTGAATGGCACTAACATTGATAGAGGCTTACCAGCATTGACACTCCTGGGCAGAACAGGCAGTGGGTCAGAGTCCTGCTCAGGTTTGATGAGAATGGAGACTGCAGAGGAGGCAGTGATCTCCCGCAGGAGGCTGCTGACACCCTGAGTGGACTCCTTCAATAAGGAAGTTACATTTTGTGTGGATTCCTTCAACAAATCTGACACAGTGGGTGTGCATTTGCTCTGCCCATTTAAATCCTTATTATCAATGTTGATAGCAAAAAGAATGGAGTTCAGACCTTCAGAAAAAAGAAAGGGGAAAAAGAGACCACAAATGCACCATATACTGCACATGCAGGTCATGAACACAGAAGCTAAGGATTAATGAAATTGTGACATGGAAAACATTTTTTCCAAAAATTTCCCACAGTTCCCAATGCATGAATTCTTATTCTTTCATGGACCATTCATTCCTTTCTAGATTATATTCAAGCTGATGCAATCAGTTCTGAATTCTTCTTGATGCCTGCTCAGCTGCACATTAAATAATCAAAAAGTACTGTGAACTCATTTATTTATAACCTTTTATTTAAACCAATTTCACTGCAACTTTACTGTTTGTGGGTTCCTATATTCTATTAGCAAAAATGCAGCAGAACAATGTCTTGCAGAATGAAGCAAGTGATCATGTATCTGAAAAAAGGAGTATAAAAGATAACAATGCATCACTTCTGTGGATGAACTCTGGAAAAGTAAATTATTTGTTATCATTCCTTACTCTTACTCTCCTTATCTGTATTTACCTGTAATTTTGATGTTACTATAAATTCCATCATTACTCTTTTCTAATCAGGAATAACCCACTTTGCTTCTCTACACTGCACTGGTTTTAAGTTAGCCTTGACTGCTGAAGAGTTAAAAATTTTATGTGGAAAAGTTTTGAATTGTAGGAAGGCCAGATCCAGGATTTTAATAATCCATCAATTGACAGCATAAATTGGCAAAATACCTTGACTGCTCACCCTGGCTGTGCCTCTGACACGCATTCTTCACATAAACAGAGTGTATTAGAGAAATCCTCACAAGCAGAACAGATGCAACACCCCAAAATGCATCAGTTTTCCAAGAGCAATTATACTGAAGAGAAAGCCTTACCAGCTGCCATTGTAGGGATCATGCTAGAACGTTCCTCATCCATCATAAAAGACCAGTCTTCATAGAAGACACTGTAATTTAAAGGGGAAAAAAGGACATGCAGTGCTATAGTAATATATACTTCACTTCTGAAAGACAAAAAACCTCTGAAGAATAAGCAGGAGCACCCCAAAAGATGCAATTTTATGTCACAGTAACTCCCTGTAGCTCTCAAATTGATAACTGTTCAGATGGTTCTAAAAAGACATGCTAAAGAGTATTTTTGTTCTTTAGTTTTAGCTCTGCACTTTTTTAGGGGAAAAAAAGCCACTCAAGGTCTGGGGATTTACACTGCATATGTTAAACAAATCTAACAGATTCATTGAAAAGTTTCCAAAACATATAACTGGGGATGTAAACTGATTCTGTAAATTCCATCAGAATTCGGGTAACATTTAAGTCTTAAACATTCAGGAATAAACGTTTTTATAAATAGCATTACAATGCAGTGTGTTGATAATCCTGATACTGTGCAAGTATTGCTACAAGCATGAGAATAATTAGTGGCACAGCAATACAAGTCACTAATTTCCTAATGCTTTTCAGACCCTTTTTCATTTCATTTGTTATTTCATTTGTCTTTATTTGATTTCTCCAAAATCTGTTTTGCAAGAAAGCTACAGATGACTGGAACAAACTAGAAATGAAAAGGAGATACTAATGAACTCAGTTCAGGCAATACTCTTATCCACTACATCCATTAATCAATGCAAATGAATAAAATGCCTTTCTGCTGAATCCACTGGACTTGATCAAGTGGTTTGAGGAAGCTCAACAGTTAGTGATTAAAAGAGGAAAATGCCTCAAGTTTTCACAAAGAAAAGAAGTTGAAGCCAAATGAGAAAAAAGCAGGACTCAGTAATGAACCTAAGTGCATTCTGCACTTCCAAAGTACTTTAGGATTTCACAACGTGTAGTAAGTTATTCTCAGTAACTGTAACAAAAGGTTCACAAACTGCTACCTAACCACTTCTGCAGCTGCAGCTCCCCACTGCTGCACTGCTGGAGCTCTGCAATTACAGGATCTCCAAAAGGCAACAGGCAATTACCACTGATGAATTGAGATCAGACATGGCTGCAGTTGTGTACTATTTTAGTGGAATGAGAGAGGCACCTTAAAGTATGGTGTCCAGGCTGCAGTGAGGAAAACTGCTGAAAGAACAGGGAAGGGATTTAGAGAAGAGGTCAAATGTTGATATAGGCACAAGTCACTACCTTAATGGCTGACAAAAATTTTAAAAAGTTATTTTAAGTGACTTGACAGGCACAGCAATGAATATGGGGTACTACTACAGCTGTGGCTTTTGGTTGTTGCCTGGGGTTTCAGCCATGTCAGCATTTCCTGCAGTACAAAGGTGTCAGTACCTGAGGCGACCCTTATCTGCAAGCAGCATGTGCACGTATCTTTCCAGGGAATGCTCGTTCAGAGCACAGCGCAGCCAGGCCCGGCCCCTGCCGATGTCACTCGTGATGGCCTTCAGGGAGTAGAAGCGCTGCAGCTCGTGCCTGTTCAGCACCTCCTTCACATAGTACCAGAACACTGGCTCTGCAATTGAGCATTAATAATAACAGTAATGACAACCACCCTACCAAGAAAACCACTAAGCTCATACTTGAATACATTTACAGGTAAATTTATAAAACAAACAGGTAACAATATAACTTTGAACAAAGGTGAATCATTTACTCTCCTCGTGCAACCCACCAGTTAAATAAGTTATTTATTCCTACAGAACTTGGGCTATTTAAGCACTTAGAACTGTTCACTTCATTGAAAAAGCCACACAAATTAAAGGATTTGATCTGACAGTTTTACACAGAATTCACATTTAAAAGCATATTTAAGCTAGTATTTTATCCACAGGTTTATACATTCAACTGGAAACATATTATGGAAGGGAAAAGATTTCTTTAGAACTCTATGTTACTGCTGATGTGAAATGTTGGAAGGCAGGTCCAAAGGAACAGGTAGCTTCAGAATTTGCAGAACATGCAAATAACAAATTCATGTTACTTTAGAAAACAGAAGTGTGGGATTTAAACAGCAAAAATATCTTTCTCCACTATACACTTTCTGTGTGTTTTTCCCAAATATTGATAAAAACTGATCAGTATCTTTACATAGTTCTGATTAAAGAAAAGAGAAACAGTTGAAGAGAAAAATAAAGGAATCTTTTATTTGAATATAATAAAAACCAACCCAACCAATACAAGCAATATAATTTTTCTTTCCAAAATCACATCCATAATTAGAAGTTAAACATATCTGACCTATATAGAACATGGCACTTAAAGAACTAAGACAACGTCAAGAATGAAAACATTGTTTTAAAAACACCAAAATTACACAACCCTGATCCCTGCCAGAATTCAAAATGAATTTGCCACTATACATGATGGAACAGTAGAAAGTGCAGATTTCCCAAGAGCAACATTTCTAGAGAAACTTGGAATGCAAGTTAAACTAGACAGAAGCAACAGTCATTTTCACTGCCACTTCTACAACACATCAAGTGTAAAGCATCCTATCAACAATCTGCAGTTTGGTGCAATGCTCCAAACTTCTTTTAGAAATTATATCCCTTGACTGAACATAAGAACTAATTAAAACAAGATAGCTACAATGAGCAACCTACCTGTTTCAGTTTTGCTGGAGAAACCTGCTGCCTGTTTGATTGCAGCTGCTGTCAGTGCCAACCCCCGGCTCCTCCTCAGGCCATGCTGGAACACAGCTTCAAACTGAGCACACAAACAGGTCACTCTGCAACAGAATTTTTAATGAACTCATGTAGAAGGAACTATGAAAAAATCATAGTGAAAATCATGTATCTACACAGCAATTTTATTGCAGATCTCTGAATAGGAAATGTAAAGTGAACCATTACCTTATAAGCAGTGAAAGATTCCCTCCTATGCAGTAATCTCATTATTTGCCAGCAGTATAATCTAATTATACCCACAACCTCATCATAATGATTGAAAGCTGAGGCTCAGGTTACATTCAGAAGAATTGGCAATCAATTTGAGAAATCACCCTCACCTGCTAGAGGGGCTGTTAATCATGTTATTTCAGCTTCAGATCACCTACCTTCCATGCAATGTAATTTTTTGAGCATGTCAAATATTTTGTGCCATATGTTTTATGTCATTATGATGCAAAATCTAGGCATGTAATTCTTGGACTATTTTACCTGCTATCTGAGTCTGAAGCAATTTCTTTTCTTCCTCCAAATCGTATTTGACACTGCAATAAACAGATTTTAAGACATTTTATAAACTTTTTGTTACACTAAATAAATTCAGTTTTCTGCACTATTTGTACATATGAAACAAAGTCATATCAAAAAAGGAAGCAGCACAAAATAGAACACTGCAAAATACAGCCTGCATCCAAAAAGTGCTCTAGAGCATCATGTTACACTAATGGGCTGCTCTTGCAGTTCAAATAGATCCTTGCTAGCCAGAACAACACACCTGCAGCTCCCTCAGTAAACTGAAAACTGAGTGGAAATTACTACTTTTGAGTTTTAAATGTGCACCCACAAAACCAGACATTGCTCTTACCCAGCTCAGTGCTACAATTGCAGAACCACTCTTTAAAAAGCATTTCACTGGCTTACTCGTGAGGAATTCTTTTGCCTCCCAAGCTCTCCCAAATTGACTCCAGTCTATGAAATTCTACTTGCTGAACTTCACATTGACACAAATATAGACATACATAAATCACATCTTTACATGTATTTTAACCATTCACTAAAAATCTAGTGCAAAGAAAACAAACTGCTACTCTAAAATGTTAACTAAGTTAGACTTTGCAGTACACTGCAATTTAGTTCAGTCATATCAGGATTACAAGAACATATATTCCTAATATATATTGTATAGTATTATATATATTTAAAATAGATCTATTACAAATATAAGCTGTCCAGAACAAGAATTTTAAATAAATACTGCATAGTAGTTGCTCACTAGCAGACAAAAACTCAGTTGTACTAAGAAAGCCACAATCTCTTCTTTGTATCCTTTTCATCCTTTTCCTTCTCTTTGTTAAAGAGAAAGCAAAGACAGTCCCTGCTAGTAGTGACAACTCTGAGTAAGGCAGTGCAGAAATGTCTGTTGTATTTCTCACCTGTTTAACTGCATCCAGCAGCCGTTCTAGAAGAAATTGTCTTTTAGTGTCGTTGGTCTGTGAACCTGAAATCCAACAAAATCATATCATTTTAAAAGAAACTGGTTTTTTAAATACATTTGGGCCAACACAAATGTCTTTTTTTTGGGCCCTGAAAACTTTCTTCCCATGTCAATTATTCCACTAAATTAACTAATGTATTTTCTCTAAGTAAAATGATGCAGTATGAACTATGCTTTGAGGTTTCAAGTAGCCTTTCTCTAACAGACAGCAATAATGTTTCAAGTATCATCTTGATTCTTATTTTAGTAACATTTTAAAGATACATTTCACCAGTACCAAACACAGAATAATTATTCAAGCTGATGCACAGCTTGCCCAGAGTTTCTTAGCACAACTACCAGAGTAGTACAGCATCACAGCACTAAAAAAGAATGGAAAACAAGAGTGAGACACCAGGAGTATATTCTTGCTGTCAAACCTTAGTGCAGAAAGAGCTTTAAGTCAGGTGAACAGAGAGCAACCGTTGCAGTAAATCCCTTAAAATGTAACTACCAGCATAGTTCTTCTGATTAACACCTATAAAATCTATTTTGTTACTATATAAGGAACTGTGCAAGACAATCTTTAACTTCTCAAGCTGTTTCAACAGTAACACAATACTTTGCTTTTTGGAATATCCTTTATAAACTCCCATGAATATGGTAAAACTTATTCTTTAAGATAACCTGCATTGCCTCTGTAATTTCTTTATTCTCAGCTTGAGTTCAAAGCATTCATCAGAAACCTCCGTGACCTCTCTTGGTTTTAAGTCATTCTATTCTCCTTTCTCTCTCAAAGAACATATAACCAATGCACATATGGACTGAAAGCCAATTACCCAAACTCTGCAGGAGCAAATTCCTCCCAACACTGACAATCAAACACCACACACTAGCAAACAGAGATGACATCAAAGATATGTGCTTCCTCTTGCTATCCAACAGTGTGAGGTCCAAACCCCAGAATTTCCTCTCTTCATAACCCCATTCAAAACAGTTTGCTTTTAAACCAGCAGGACATAACAGAATTTGTTGAAATGATTCTGCCTTTAAATATGTATACTCATAAAACATATAAATATCCATTATACTGATATAATGTTTTATATATATTCATATTAATCTATATTAATAGAATTCATATTCCAAATAGTTTCATATACTCATTAAACAGAAGAAAACCCCCACAGTTTGCCAGAATAATGAAAACAACAGGAAAAACAAGCAAACATAGCTGCTAAGCAAGCTTCTCAATGCTGGTTTTGCTGATTACAGGGCATTTTCAAGAAGTTGTGCTTCCCATTTTGAACTGTGACTCAAAGTGTGCAGACATGTGATGTGTGAGCTCTGGGGCTCTCAGTCAGGCACTCCAGTGCCCACAAACAATGTTCAGAGCCAGTCCAGGACTCCAGCTTCAAACCCCACACCAAATGGGTTTAACTTCCAAACAGCTATGCCAGTTATGCCAGTGGGAAGATAAAGCTAAATTCATACAATCCCTACCATTCCACCCTGTGCTCCTTCAGGGATTACAGTTTATTAAACAATATTCAATGTTCCTACCACACATCCATTGCCAAAATGGACATGTATACATGCCTATGTATCCATTTGTTTTATAATAAATCACATCATCATAAAATAAGGAAGAAATCTCAACTTTCCGAGCAGCCTCTCACATTCAGTAACACTGAATATACACAACTCTGCAGATTTTCTCTGTTGTTTCAAAACTCATTACTCTTAGTCTTACACTACCCACACACCTGCAAGAAGAGGCACAACACAACATTTCTATTTATATTAATAGCATGAGACAACATCAGAACAAATGCATGCAATGAATAATTGCATGACCAGAAAAACATCTATCAAATGAAAATATTAGTAGGTGGGCCAAGCTTGTCTTCCAAATGCAATACATGATAGTTTTTAAATTCACATCTCTTGGGACTCTTTGTGTCTATTTGGTAACAGAAATGGTTTGCAACTAGATTCCAAACCATGACAATATAAAAATCCATAAATACAGAATACATACTGATGTTCATTATACTAATTAATGTTCTAAACCACTAAAGCATGTGATACCAAACAACCTCAACTTTACAAAACTGAGTGCAATGTGTATTTTCTCCTTATTTTACTTGCAAATTTTCACTACTAACAATCATGACTGCAGGAGATGACAACCAGTAATTCCTGAAGCAGTTCAGATCACCCTCACCATCAATAGGGCCATAAAGCCATGTAATGTCTCTGCTAGGGCTTAGCTGAGGTTTCTCTTCAATGCACATCCTAAATTCCTTTGCTTAACAAAAATTTTACAGGTATAAGGAAAAGAATACTCACTACATCTGTTTAAAAAAAAAAAAAAACTGAAAGATTAGGTTGTGTCTCTTTTCATGCTGAGGGTATATTTTTCTTTGTAACAAGTCTAGAAAATATGGTACTATTTAAATATGGTACTATTTCGTGATGGTTTTATTTCCAGTAGGTGGAAGGTAAAAATACATTTCCACTAACTCTGTTGAAGATTTAGTTCTTCCACATTTTCATTTTCTAAACTAAGTTTTCAGGGGAAAAAAAAAAAGGCATCCTTTCATACAAGAGCACCAATTAAGTGTGATCAACTCCAGCTGACTTTAAGTCTAAGAGTGTATTACAAACTGACTAAAATACCCTTCTCCTTATTCAGAATAGCAGTAAAACCTACAGCAACACACATATAAATACAAAACACAGAATGTATAAAAACAGCATTACTCAGAAAAAGGCTGTATTTAGACTATTGCCATAAAAAAGGAAGTTCATACTGGACTCTAAAAATAATTGTGAAAACATAAGTATAAGGTTGAAAAACTAAGAAACTTCAAGAGACTTCTCCCACCAACATCTACTCAGTCAAAAAGGGTTTAACACAGGCTCAGGTACTGCACCTGCCTCTGTGACCCTCTTCATTTTCTGTTGTTCAAGGTCATGCTTTCCTATTTTTAAAACAAACTTCTCTCCACGCTGTGACACAAACATCCACACCTACAGCAGCAGCAAACTGCATCTAAGTAAAGGAAAGCAGGATTTTCATATAGTTCTTCCTAGGTAAAGTCTTCTTCAGCACCACATGCTGCATGTGGTGCTGAAGAATAAATAAATCTCATATTGCTCTTATATAACTTGCATTTATGTCCTGAATGCAACATTTCAGACTGCAATCGCTCTTGCTCACTCTAATGCAGGTTCTGATGGCACGAGTTTAAAATAAAACAAACACAGACCTAATTTAAATGCTACTTTATACTACATTATTATGATTCTACTGCTCTACTCCCCCCACCACAAGCTGCATTTTGAAGTTTTTTGAAACTGTCATTAAACAAATGACAACACCCCCAATTCTTGACAAGCACATAAATCTTGTACCCTTGTATTATTTGCCTTTAAAGTTTAGCCTAGTCAGCACTGTAGAATAAAATATGAGCATGTAATTAGTAAGCAGCATTAGTAATATTAAGGTGAGGCTTACATCAACAGGAATTTACCTTCACATCCACTAGAAATACACTGTAGCTAAAGAAAATAAACATTAACTATAATTATAGTCACTAAGAAGTTCTTCCATCTACATTTTAGGAACACCTCTGTTAGTTAAAAGGGCTAAAACTGGGCATAGAAGTACATAGAGGCAGTGCTGTTACAGGCACTAAAAGAAGGATATGGTTAAAATTGATGAGAGGTTAACATCAGCCATCTCCCTTATTTGAAACAAGCATGATAATGATATCTCAGATATTTCTCTGTTTTGATCAGTTTCACTTATATTATTCTAGAAAAATACTGTACAGCACTGTGTAACAGTAATGTTTGTCAAAGTGCAACATTAGGGGGGTTTTTGTTACCTTGCTAATTGAAATTGTTGGAAAACCCCTACAATTCTTGGCAGGGGCTATACATGAGTGGTAACTATGCAATTGAACCACTGCTGTTAATGTCACCCTAGGCATTACTCTATTTTAAGTAATGAAATGTTTCTTTTCCCATAAACACATATCTCTTTGTTGTCTTAAAAAAATATTAAAGGTAACAAAAATAACTACCCGATGAAGCTTTAGGCCACATGAGGTGTTACCTTGCCTTTTGAGCCACAGAATCCAAATAGAGCTCTCAAAGATTAGTCTCCTAGGAAGATTTAGCTCTAATTTGCATAAATTTGCACAAGGCTATTCCCAGTTTGAATTTGAAGGGCTGAGGTTTTCCATATGAAATGATGACTCTTACAAATTTTGTAATTAGGATTTAGTCTATATTGTGTCAAGATCTGAAACATTTGAGAAACTTTCTTTTCCCATGCTTTGAAAGATTTCACTGTTACTTGCATTTTTCACAAGCAGTTTCCCCATTTTAATCTCTTCTTTTTTGCCTCATCTCTCCCACAAAAATATTCAACTTTCTTCCTACCATAAAGGTGAGAACAAAACAGAGAAAAATACAAGTGAAGAGGTTTTATTTTTCAGTTCACTTTCAGAAATGTCTGCTCCCCACAAAACAGATAGCATTTAGTTACTCCAGTTAAGTCCTCAGTTTATTTCTCACTGCCTTGGGCAACAAAGACCACCATGTATTAGACCAGGGTGGGAGATCAATGTGTGATCCAATCCTCAGGTGCAGAGTGCTGTCTGCAACTTCCATTGCTGAAGATGGACAAACAAACCCATCAAAGTTTTTACTAAAGCACCTCCCTTCTCAAAAAGCCCTAAACAAGTCCTTGCCAATGTATTTTAATACATATTAAAGAAATACCACTTATCCTTTACATCTACAAGTGTATAAGAAATTTTATGTCTATCCTAACAAATATCTCCACGCTTGCTCATTCAAGCAGATCTGCTTCCTCCAGTCCTGTAGTTTATGGGTCATAATTCTCATGCAAAGCTTCGAGTATTTCCTTGACAAACACGTCAAAAAGCTCAGGATTTAGCACACTTTTACCCTCAAGATTTAACACACCCCCGGCACCGCTCCCCTCTACCACAGAAATTACCGCATCCAGACACATCCTCACCGGGACTCAGGGACACAGCAACAGGGCCCTTTCTCCACAAGCCGCGGTTCTCACCTCTCCCACCGACAGCATGCTCCTCAGCTCATATTTTTAATTTTTTTAAACTCCTATTTTCTCTTGGTCATTTATTTCCTCAGGAGTATTTCCTATGAGTTTGCACAGCTGAGGCAACACAGATGCCGGAGCCCAGCATCACTTGTGCTGTGAGGCTGTGAGCCAGTGTCACGCTCAAGGGCAAGACTTAGGATTTAAAACGGGGTAAAACACCACTTCGGGGAGCCGGAACGAGGAACAGGGTGTGGAGATAAGAGACCCAAGTGTCCTGTGCCTCAGCACGGCACCAGGGAGAAGCGGAGGGGAACGAGGGCAGTGCCACTCCCGCCCGGCCCCCCAGGCACCTCTGCCCGCGCCAGCCCCCACAGCGCCCGGCGGGCCCGGGCGGAGGGGCCGGCCCGGCCGCACTCACCGCTCATGGTGCCCGCGGGGCTCCGTCCGCCGGGGCCGCCGCTCTCCCGCACAGCCACGGCCGGGCCGGCAGCCACCGCCCGCCCCGGAACCCGCCCGGCGCCCCGGAAGGTAAACACGGCCCCGGGAGCGCCGCGGAGCGCGTCCGACCCGGGGCTCATCAGCGCGGCCCCGCGCCCTCAGCGCGCCCCGGCCCCGGAGCCGCCCGGCCCCAGGCGGGCAGAGCCGTCCTGAGGGGCAGGGACGCGGCACCGCCAAAGGAACGGTGAGAAAAGTGGAGATAACCCCGCATGTGCTGTGCGGGGTGGAAGCTCGGAAAGGCTTGTTAAATAAAACCAAAAAGATGATAATAACAAATTTCTTAAGTCTCTAGGCCTATTTGAGAGGTGTTGGCCCTGTGTGGCCAAAACCACACAGAGCTCCTAACTCCCAACTCACCCCAAACCTTGTGTCAGCCTCCTAATGATGCTGTAACCGATCATTTGTAGATTTCAAGCAATGAAATACTTCCAATTCCTCATTCATGCAGGAACCTGAAGTAGAATGTTAGCTACAAATAAAGATGATTTTTGTTGTGGTTGTTGCACTTTTCCAGGAATAAAATTGTGGCCTAATATTGGGAAAGTAACATTAATGCTTGCAAAGCAAGGTGACAGAAATATATTCCTAATTTTAGGCCACAGAGTGGTCTAGTACGACTAATCACCCATCCTTGTAAATGTGACAAGGGTAAGTAAAAAAAAATGAATAAAAGAGAACTAAATCTCAGTCTGAAAACACTTGGCTCTGAAAGGAAAGCCTGCAGGAAATACATGGGATTGCAGGGATTGCAGTGAAGGCCAGGAGTTGGACATCAGTGACCCTTGTGGGTTCCTTCTGACTCAGGACATTCTGTGATTCTGTGATCTGTGCTCCCCAGCACCACCAGCATCCCTTAGGGTGACCCAGTGACATCTTCTGAACCCAGGGGCCTCCATACTCTACAGGGTATCCATCTTTAGAACATTCCCATTTCAAGTGCTGAAATTACTCAAGAGTGGGGATGTACTGTAGGTCTTCATTTCTGCCTATTGGAAGAGTCCTGTGTACCATCAAGTAGTTTTTGGCACAAGATCTGAGTCTAACATGAACATACATATTTGCAAACTTGTTTATTTTGTATACATCTGCTGTAAGTAGGTATAATCTATAAAGGCAGAAAAAGCTGTCCTATGTAAGGACTTTCTGAAATTAAAAATTCCAATAACTAGTTGAGTTTCTGAGGTTACTGTAGAAATACTTGACTAATGAAATACTAGAATTAGAAATAATGACAATATTAATGCAAGCACAATGGGAGATCTCCAAGGATGATGCAAGTATTCTTCATTCTCCACTGACTGCAAATATGGAATAACTCATTTATTATTACTCAGTACAAATACACTTCTCTCCCAGTCATCCAACACCCAGAACATAGTTGCAATAATCAAAAGATTTGGTGGTAACCAGAACAGTAGCTCGTTCTTCAGTAGCTGGTAATGGAAATGAAGTTTCACAGCCAGTCTGAGGTTTCACCAAGCCACAGTCACTGCAAGTGCATTCTTCCACTGAATACATTAATGTTTCACTTGGAGGTGTGTGTCTGATTTCTTCTGTGTTCACACTGCTTTCAGTATTAGCCTTGAGAATGTTGTTTGGCTCCACAGAGGAGTCTGTAATATACAGAAGTTTATTTAGTACATACATCATGCTATACTGAACAAAGAGCTGTTAAAGATCCAAATTTCATTATGGTCCAACTATGTTCCAACCTCAGTGAAAATTTTAAGATATAGTGAAAGTTTTAAGATGTACACATGATAATCTTTTGTTCTATGACAACCTTCTACTTCAGAATAAACATTGAAATAATTCAACACATTTTCTAATCAGTTATTATTTATTGTCTGAAAACTCACAAATACAGTATTTGCAAAATGGAAAAAACCGTTTTTCACCTTCACAAAATATACCACATATGCTTCTCACAGATTACAATATTAAATAAAATTATTTAAAGTCTTATAAAATGAAAAGCTAATATTGAATGTGTATCCTCTGCCTGGGAACAATTCCTTTTGCATTCAGTGAAGGTGAAACCCTTATGAAGGTTTTTGCTTTTAAGTTTCCATAAATGATTTCTCAAACAGCAGCAAGTAAGCCAGGTATGAATATACAACACAATCCTCACAGGATCCCGAGCCAACAAAGAGAAATTGCTGCTTTTGCAAGTCAACATCTGGATATTTATTCCCTAATAACTATGATAATTTCATGCAGAATATTTGTGGAATACCAAACAATCCAACAAAGACAGTCCTGAGAATCTGGAATATATACAATGTTTTTACATGTTAAAAGTGTCTAAATTGTACAATGATCTAAAATTATTTGATTAAGAATTTATTCACCTGTGTTTTGCAGTTTTTGTTGCTTTAGGTGCTTCCATTTAAACAAGACCATTAAGGTAAACAGAGTGAATATTAAAATCAACCCTATGCCCAAACAAATCCAAAGGATTCCACTCGATTCGGTACCTTGTGAAACAAAAGAGATGCATTACATTAATCACAAACAACAACTCATGTGCAGTAAACATGTCCAACACATCAAAGCTGAGTGTAAAACACAAGATGAAGATGCCCAGCACAGGCACAGAGGATTGCAGGAGTTTACTTACTCTTCTCACAGTAGTTTTCGCAGGAGGGCGGGGGTGCACTGGAACACCGCAGGTGACAAGGAGTACAAGAGAGCAGCAAATTATCAAAGTATTCATTTTTGGGGCACTGTGCCATCAGGAGCAGTAATTATGGAACTACAAAGCCACAGAAATTGTAAAAGAGTGAGGATCATCTACAGAAAGCTTCTGAGTTCTCAGTTTGAGCAACTCTAAGAACAGCTAGCAGTAATAATGGACTTCCATCACAGCTCCACTACATGGGATCATGTTACAGAAAAAGGATTTAACTCTGAGGTCCCCAAGGAATGACTGTTCCTTTTTTGGCAATTCACAATCTTAGAAAAACTGAGCAGCTGCACCAAGATAGTTTTCAATGTAAATTTTGTCTGAAACAGAAAATGGTTATTTATAGAAGATGTTTCTAGAGCAGGTGCTAAGTACTACAAACTGTAGAGAAGAAAGATCTCCAAGCAGGAGCTCATAATAATTGTTCTTGTCTCTAAAACTGGGGGTTTTTTTCATGGTGATTGCTTCTCAATTCTGAATTAGCCTCATTTATCACCTATTAGGGCTTGGTTGGCATTTTTGCTTAGTTCATTTTGGAGGCTTTAGCTTTTTTTTTTTTTTTTTGCTTATAACCACATTTCTATGAAAAATTTAATATGATTACATTCTAATCATGAAAGAAGTGCTATATTAATATTTTACCATTTTGATTCAAAACATCATCTGCATTTTTCACTTCTTTTTTCATAATACAGAACTGTCACTGGGCTAAAACTGGAATACCCAACACAGAAAAGTAAGTTTATAGGATGCCTTCTTCCCAGCCAGGTAGAGGTATATACAGTGAATGTAACATTTCTGAAAATGTATTTGGTCTCCTCACAGAAAAAATAAAAAGCTTTGACTAAAGACTGTCACAATGAAAGTAGTTTACACAGCTAACTTGTATCTTGGTATTTTATTCTAATAGAATTTATTTTAAATACAAAGTTAACTAATTTCTAGCAATTAGCAGTGTTAGAAATTAGTTAATTTCTAGCAAGTAGCAGTAACTGCCTCTATCCAGTATCACTGCCACAGACAGATCAGAATTACAGGCTCTCTTTCTTTATCATATTTAAGTTAATTGCCTTTTTCACTACAGAACTATAAAAGAAAAACATTGTATAAGGAGTTGTAATTTCAAACCACATTACTATGAGACTCATTTTCCCACAAAATGCACCATGTGGAAATACACAAATTGTTTTTAGTGGAGCAGTCTAACAGATCTGTGTTCTGGTCTCTGGCAGATGGAAATGCTTATTGTGGCTTCTGCACTTGTTTCCATGGGCCAGGTGCACAGCTCAGGGCTTTCCATCACAGGCTTTTCTCCCTCCTCAAGATTAGTAGATAAACAGGAATTGATGAACTCTGATTTAGGTGTGACAGAAGAAAATAAGGGTAGAGACTGTGGGTTATGCCAAAACTTTCTCTAGGAAGTCAGTGCTGGTGCTGAAGTCATAAAACTGGTTCTGCCTTGCTCCCTACAATCACACTGTGGGGGAAGAAACCTCAGCTATTGCTGCAAAATCATCCTTGTTTCTGATGAAGCACCATTTGGTACTTTATGCACAGAGTAATTTCAGGTTTTGCTTTTAAGATGCTGTTTAGCCTTTTCAGCCATGGAGAGGACAATCACATTCCCAAGAGTGATCTCAAGAAAGCAGATACTCATGAAACCACTTCGTGATACTCATGAAATCACTTCATGGTATCCACAGGTACAGTAAGTGAATTTCAGGACAGACAAGCTGATCCAATTCTTTAAGCTTTTATCCACTGAGTTCTGTGAAAGACCCCAGCCTTTGCTGCACTCCTGGGTTGCTGTTTCAGGGGTGCAACACCTTGCATTTGTCTGTTGGACTTTGTAATGCACTCTTGCTCCACGTGTTGCTGTGATGGATCCTACAACTGATATCTGCTCAATATGATATTGGTACTATTCATAAAAACTGTAAAGGGACTTTGCAAGAGAAACATTGATCTAAAAGCAAGGAAAGAAATAACAAAATGAGCCTGTGTCTGGAGGTCACCAAAGATGTGGTTAGATTATATACATGATTAAATGTCTTGGTGTTAGTGAAAGGCATAGTCCTGCTCTTCACTCTGTATACTCTGAAATGTGAGGAAGGGCTGGAAGGTTTACCTGACCACATGGCAAACAGCTTGAAATTCATTAATCCAGCCAGTTCATGGAGTTTTACATCCTAGGCCCTGGAAAAAAGGCCAGAAACAACACAGAAAAAAAAATTATATATATAAAGAGCTGATCACCTACTGGTGACATGCAACTCAGTCCAGCAGAGAAATCCGCATTT